CTCTACTTTTGAGGGTCTTTGAATCCTATTTTCGAATAAACAGTGATTTATACACTTCTTAATGATTCTTTCTTGAGCGCCGCTTATATTCTGATATACTAAATTGTCCAAGGCCTTTATGAAATTAACATTTATCACTTTCATTCGTAATCCTTGTTCGTTTGGGGCCTAGATGTGCAGAAACAAACAATACCTGGTTAGAAGGTATTGTATGACTAAAATGGCTGGCATATATTACCCTCATAATTGTCCAGGCAGTAAGTATTACGAATTTAATGGAATAATTTGGGCGTCGATTTGGATTTAATCATTATCAGGTATTTAAAATAATCCCAGCCTGTTTAAGAAAAAATTATTTTAAATGATTCATGATGATATGTCACTCTTATTTGTTTTTAACTAACTCTCAATTCCTCAGAACGATTTTCTCCATCTTAAATCACTGTTAGTCATGCGTGGGTATGGCACTTACACGGATACTGATTGTTCATCGATTGGCTACAAATCGCTTCCAGAAACCCCTACTAAGTTTGGATTGCTGGTCACTCTTGATGACGACCTAGCTGACAGCTTTGTGATCGTACATTTTTGTGATAATGTACCCTCATTTGTTCGTAAATGAAGGCGGCCAGTCTATAGGCTTCATGTATATGTTGAATCACATATATATATATGGAGTGAGCATACTTGCAGTTATCTGCGTATGGAACAGTATATATAAGACAAGGTAATGAAATATTACCAATTAAGTTAAACTGTACACGTAAAACCAGTGTATACAGTATAATCCTAGATGCTGCTTGTCAATGCCCAGGTCTAACTACACTGGACTTCACACTGTCCTTGAAAGACTTTCAGGAACCATGCGTAATAACCAACGCCTAAACCAGAACACAAATTGGTTACTCAATAACCGTCTATTCTTGCACCAATACAGAGACAACCATTAAGTTGCTGCACACAAAGTCTAAGAATAAATGCTACAACAACAAATCACAATAATACTTCTGATAGTTTTTTCTCTGTCCTCCAACGAACAGCGAACGACGAAACGATGACTGCAGTATCGATGACTCCCGCGAAAATATGGATTTGTGTTTGAGCGAACAACCATGAATTTATCGTTCAATCTTCAACCACATTGTCACTGGTGTTATTTTAATTCAACCAAAGGTGAGTAATAATTAAGGGTGGTAGTATAATGAAATCAAAACCTGTAGATAGATGTTGATTGATGTTTTGTTTTCTCTTATTGCAGGAAGGCACTCTGGAGTTAACCACTTGGAATAGGATGTACAACTGCAGCCGCTTAACATTAACGAATACTACAAAGACTATTAGACTGTGAACCCCATCCGCAAACCTTTTGAAATCCGATATGGAGCTGAATATGCATTCTGGGCCCAGCTAATGCTCTGATTTCATTATTTGTATGGCTGTTGCTCTGTTTGTTAAAATAGATACGGTAGGTTATTCATAAAGTGGCAGGAGTACTCGTGTGAAACGTTAGTTTACCGTGAGCATTATCACCAGCGATATCAACTGCAGGTGGCTCACCACGGCAGTTAGTGTGCAGTTAAACGAACAGAGAAGTATTATTACTTAACCAGCAATCAGCAGCATGTAATTTTCGGTTAATACACAGAAACTGGAATAATGTTTGAGTTATTCCCAGTTGGCCAAGTACGACTTCTTTCGGTCTAGTTGACGAAACTTTGCTACAACATATGAACGTTTTGTGACAAAACGACGTCTTGCATTTCATTTGAGGAAGGATGGCAAGTAGCGGCATTAAAGTACTTCAGGAAGTTCATTCGCCAACATATCATCACAATTATGCCCTCACTGATTCATGTACTAATCTCCAGACACTTTTAGCGCCTTTCAGGGCACCTGAAATGGCAGAATCGCGACTTATCAGTCTATCTTGACTACAGTTACAATGATATACATTGCGTGTAAACGGATTAGCTTACTCGAAATGCATGCCAATTTTACAGCACGATCAGTTATGTTAAAAATTACAATTGTGAATTAGCATAGATTAGCACTTTTTAAAAGTTTAAATTGTTGAATTATGGTGCAAACAATCAGAAGCAGTTCGGATTAATGTTAAACTGTAAAACCTTTGCTAAGGTTGCCATCAAAATTAGGCGACAACCCAAACTTATCTCCATTTCCTGCTGGTGGTTGTGGCCAAACGATAAACAACATACACTTGGGTGAGTGCTATACCCCCACATGATTGGACGCTATCTGAAGAGGAGAAGAACTTCCTGGGCAGCTGAAAAATGATATAAAATGCAATGATGAATAACACGTCACTGGAAGCACACTTACGAGATAAATACGAGGAGCTATAGAGTACTTGAAATGATAATACAAATTTGCAATGTACGATGCTAACCATATTGGCCTTACTATGGAAAATATGACGTTTTCGATGAGAATACAGTTATTCTCAAACATAGGTGTTGTCCTTATGTTTTTCTACATCAAAGCAATCAAACTTTAGGCGAGTGAAGAATGTAAATGGAAAGAGTAAATTTTAGCTTTATTAAAGGCCTAGGGAGTTGGGATAAAATAGAGTAAAATAGTGGTTAAATAAGAGGATCGCCATGAAGTATATAAGTGACATTCCAGACAGATGAGTTAGAGCTCGTAGGATTTGCTGACCTGTAAGATGTTTGGCGAATTTGTGTTTGGCCAATGGGGTGGCACCTTGACATGAAGCTGAGCAGGCTTGTAGATGTCAGGAGCAAAAGCATTTTTTTTAAATTTAGACCAGTGCAATCATTATTGTTCCTTTTAAGTTAATTTTTTATATCGAGGATCTGAAATCATCTTTAATTCTAGAGCTGCCAAAAAAATGCATGTTGCTGCCCTACAGATCGGATTGGTTCACATGTGTGACCACCACCATTATCTGCTGGCCAGGATGCGCCAACCTACCTCTTTAAAGTGTAATATTGAAGAAGTTAGTCGGTAGCTCACTAGTAAAATGCTTGTCAGCGTTACTTGCTTTCCGAGTCCAACTCCTGGCAGACGCATTCCTAGTCCTGAACTAACTTCTTTTGGACGGAAAAATTGGGCTTCTTCATATGGATCCCAACAACCTCAGAGATTATCCTTACCTCGGCTATCTAGGCTTGGAAGATCCTCAGTTTTTGTGGGATTTTCTTAATTTTAGTTGATATTCTACTTGCTACTATATCTTTATTATTATTATAATTTAAGCATCTTTGATGAACTATAGTTCCATTGATCTTACTTTACAAGTTATTATTTAAAAAACACAATATTGTTACGACTGCTTTTCTAGAATATTCTACGTACATAAACATATCCATAATTGTGGAGCCAGAAGAGGAAAATATCGAAAAGGATATTCTTTTTACTCAATTATTTTGTTTCATAGATGTCTGAATGAATATAATCTCGATATAATTTATACATCCTTTCACTCGTACTGGGCTACCACTGCCAAGATATACCACTCAACATAGTTCATCAGTAATTAAATTGTCAGATTTAGAAATGCTTAAGCGCACAGTATGGAGCATTATGGTCAAGTTTTATAGCAGCATCAGACACCTGTTCTGTTACCTAATCTGGTAGGGTAGAACTGGTATATAGAAGCTTCCCACTGCGTGAGATGACGTCACCAATGGGTAGATAATTTTCACATTCAGCGGGACGCAGGTGAAGTATGGCCTACCCAAAAGAAGATAGACATGGAATAATGGCCCTCACACACAACGAATCTAAGGACACTGAGTCAGTGCAATTCATTAACATTCGACTGGAAATGAGATAAAAATTCTAACGGTTAGACGGAAGGACAGGAATGTATTAAAATAAACAGAAGTTTCTCTAAAAGGTGTAGCCTAGAGTCGATCTCATCGAACTGTCGATTTCTCATCTATAAGGAGTCTGCTTCTTAATTTCCAAATGATACTGAAAGACCTGTCGCCACAGTGTAAAACCTAAAGATGGCTAAAGAATAGGATAAGGAACCTGTATTGGAATGAAATTCGAAGCCAGACGAGGAAATCTGACTCCCCCACAAAGAATATCATCTTTATGTTCATTCTCATACTGACTAACGAACATGAAGTTTTGCGGCCGTTACGTACTTTATTAACTGAGCTGACTAGTACACGTATGAAAAAATCGTCTTACTCTGTTAACGGTGATTAATGAAGTACGATTCGCTGAGTCAGCAAAACCAAAGCATGACGCTTATCGTCGAAGATACAGACTGTAGGAGTGAGTCACTCACGTACTTGTCATCCTCATGATGTTAGGAGTTGCCGATCTCCTATTCTTGATGTGGATGTATTACGGTCCTGTTACACCACAGATGACGGAAATATCCAACAACTTATTGTTCCCTTGTCTTAAGTCAGGCACAGAAGGCAGAAACATACATTTGCAGTCACTGTGTGAATAAGAAACACTTAACATGAGATGGAAACTCGGCAACCAATCCACTTAATCCTGGAAGAAATACTGGTGCGAACACACGACAAACTAACGGGAAGGGGGTTTTAGCTACAGCAGGTTGTCAGCTTAGTGAAATTCTGCTACTGTATATATCATCCGGTGAATTAAAACCACGTATCGAAAAAGCGATTCTATTCTAGTTAATCACCTCAAAACTAGCAGTTTTTGTCGACTTTGATGTGTGCAACATAGATTCCATTTGAACAGTATCCCTTATTGAACTTTTATTGCTTAACGACTCCTTAGAGAAGCGCAGTGCATTGAGTCTGAGGATTCTAATGAGAGAAATTTAGAATGATTTACAACACTCATCTCTGCAGTTCAAAGATACATGAAGCTACCGAACAATTTTGAAAGAGCTGCAATAAAATGAGAGGTAGATAAGTAACATCACAACCTACCAGGAGGCTGGAGCATTTTAAATTTAATGAAATGCCAGTAAAACAGGTGGCATGTGTACACTGATCTGAAATATGTTGAGCATCAGATAATACTGCACGAAATTTGAACAATGCGTTACCCGTCAAATAACCGGTGTGCATCTTTTCCATTCTAGCTTTGTTGAGTGGCTTTTACAAAGTAAAATAAAGTTTATAATATCTATTTACCTATATGATAAGTTTTTGTTACGTATGTCATTTAAGTTAAGTGACAATCTGTTTAAATAATCCTCTACTGAAACAATAGCTAAAGCATCAGTTCATATCTTCTCCTGGAGTGTTTGGCTAAGGATTCCTTCGGAAATATTTCTCAAGATACTATTCATTGAGTTGTCAGACTATGTCCTTACAAAATAATGTAGATTTAAATATATTTACAGAAATTCACATATGGAAGCAGACCAGCTAGAATGAGAGTAGACTGTTTGTATCATAGTTGATGAAATTTTTTCTTCTAACTGATGAAAAACAGGTGTGTATCACTGAAGTATTACTGTGGAGTGACGTCACCCAAATTTATCTTCAGCCCATTAGCATTTCTGAATTTATGATTGCTAATGTCAAACTTGTAATTAGGAAAATACTAAAGCTAGTTATTGTTAGTGTTGGATGTTATTGATTTAGAGGATGAAGGTTTAATACAAAGCTGTCGTGTGGTTGTTGTAGTAATCTGAAGTTTAAAGCGAAAAGGTTTTAGAAACTCTTCATTTGGTCATTAGTCGACAGATTATTCTTAGAAAATAATAAGCTCCTCTTATGTCTCTTAATACTCTGTTGGTGGCAGTGTTATCGACTACCCAACCATGGCTGGAGCTAGTTTTGGACTTTATTCCACCATAGGATTTTGTTTGATAAAATAGCGATATCGTTCCGATGAGAATTTATTGCTCATAAGCATATTGGGGTACCACAATGTTCAAATCTTATTCTTTTGGTTTGAATTATTCTCATAGTACATGATTACATGTTCATCTGCCAGTCATTACTGTGAAAATATCCACGAACGCGTATAGGCTACTTCGACTGTAATCTCCATCCAAAAGTTGATGTTCTCAGAATATAAGCATTTCTCTCGACCTTTTAAATTATAAATCAAAGCCTTGGACTTTGTAAAGCTAATCCGGAGCTTAGTGTAAAAGATTGGGAGCTACTAAGTACAAAGCACCTTAATTATACTAGTTGCTTGCAGTGAACAAACTCACTAACTGACATGTTCCCTTAACCAATATTCTTTTTCAAATCTTCGTGCTTTTGTTGTGGTGGTTCCATCATTTAACGGTGAAATAAAAAACTTGAAACAGTAAAGTGACGAAAAACTTTGCAGATCTACCTTTAATTATTATGTTTCATTGATGTATGATAGAAAAAAGCTCAATGTTATAAAATGCATGCAACCATTAGTAAATATACAGATATTACAATAGTAGATAAGTGCTTTCTTTTTACTAGTCTGCAATCTACCAGGGATTATTGGTTGTAGTTTTGCTTTCGGCGATTTCGTTAACTACATTCGTTAGATTATGTGTATTTCCACTTAGGGGTTACTAAGATCCTGTTTCATATGCCATTCACTATCAGTTTTATTTTTAAAAGTAGTTCAGATGTGGCTGCCGCGGCCGCTGACGTATTTTACAAATACAATCCAGGCAGAATAGTGTTTAGTCTAGACACACAAACTTAAAACCCAGTTACAACATTATTATCATTATTACGCTTATCAGTTTCATAATCACAGTCAACGTTACCTTTTAATTTTTATTTCAAACTACTTTTCTGTCTGTATTAATAAATTAGTTTTTCACTGTTATTTAACAGGTATTTCAATAGGCTTTAAACAACTATTATGCAAACCCGGTCAACAAAAGGTGATAATTCCAAAATTAACCGAAAACTTCACAGTCATTTGTAAACATATTAGCAAATTTTCATGAATAAGCCTAGAAGATACCACCTGTGTTACTACAATACTCAAAGTGGGGCACAAAGTTTTGTGCATAATGCTCAATGAACCAGCTTCCCCTTATGCATTTTGTAAAGATTTGCAAAATTTGATCATTGTAACGCAAGAACATATCATCTCTCCACTTCGCAAAGAGTTAAAACGAAGTAATGAACATTCGGAAATTCTGTCGCTTGAAATACAGGATGCTGAAGTAATTTAATTGATTTAATTTAATTTTTTTCTGTAGAATAAAACTTTTGAATACTTAGCTCAACAAATTTCAGCAATTTGTAACGCTGATGAAGATACCGCAAATGCTATACTCCGTGAATATCCAAAATCAGAAGTTTGTTTCAGGTGTCTTGGAATCAATGAAGATACAATACAGGTATTAAATATTTCTATATTTTAATATCACTTTAGGGTCTTCTACGGATCCGTGGTATCGGATTTCTACAATTATTGGATATGCCTGATAGTGAAGTGAGAACAATTTTACAAAATTACGGAGACTACGGTGAAGAAGTTGATCATGTACTTGCAGGTCTTGCAAAAATACGTGGAAATATCGATCTCATTGAAAGTGATTTAGCTTTTGAAGATGATACTAGAAATCTTATTAAATTAATTATGCGTTTATCTGAGGAAGATTCTCAAGTTGGTGGATTAACCAGCGTCTTGAATTCTCAAGTATATGAAGAACGAAAAGATTCACGCATACCTCCTCTATACGTTACTGGACCGGAAGATTCTCCCTTCGTAAACAAAGAGACACCTGTACAGAATCTGCCCTACAAAAGTACAAAGGTAGTTGTCTCTTCCCATTCAGAACACAATACATCTTGTAGAAGCCTTATTGGCCATTCGAATTCAGATAATGTGACTACATTCAGAGTTGCATATGATAATTGCAATGGTTGTATTTCATTTAACTCTCCTCACGCCTCCAGTTGTATTACAATAAATCATACACAAAATACTTCAAATAAAAACCATTCCGGTAAAATGTCAAGAAGTGATTTCAAGGCATTTAATCTATTCCCAGGTATATCTGATTCAAATATTCCTTCAGAGGTGGATATACACAACGGTGGTCTTTCAGTACCTACTACTCCTATCTCATCTAAAATTTCTTCTTCAACTGTTTTAACACCATCTAGTCGTTTTAAAGCGGGTCGTTATACTCTGCCAAATGAAGCAATTCCACTTTCACCTATATCACGTCGAGCAGGTATCCCTTCATATCGTGATCGTGAACATCATTCTCGACAGTCTGGGACTCCTCCACCAAAGCATCGTTTAAAATTTTCCTCCCCCCTACATCGTAGTAAATCTCATGAATCTAATCTTGCTAATCGTATTATTTTATCTGCTCTGTCGAGTGCAACACTACCACATCCAGAAACATGCATTAATAGACCTCAAGTATTATTATGCAATGCTATTTCTCCTGATGCTTCTAGCGCTGTACATACTGACTGTTTCAATTATCCTGAGTGTGTAAATAACAATCGACCTTCTTTAGGTACTGTTCAATACAATGCATGTAGTGTCAGTGATAATATATCAGGAAGCAACAGGACAGTTTATCATAATAGTTCTCTCACTGATAGTACTACAACATTAGTTACTAATTCACGGAGTCATGATCAAGGTCGACGTGTATCTTGTGAATATCGTCCATCGAAGACCAATGTACAACCCCTTATGACGACATCAGCTGACAGTGATAATTCACTTGGTGAGTTAATTCCGAAAAAAGATCATTGTTGTTAGTTTTTACAATTTCTACTAAATAATCTCATATAATTATTTTTATAATTTTTCAAGCAGTGTGATATTCTCTGACATCATTATGTAGATTTTAATGCAACATAAGCATGTATATGTTAATAAAATTATGAAAAATCTTTCTAACTTCCTACTAATGGTCTAAATATCGAGAGGAAATCCTATTACGTATTGTTGATCTACTGAGATTTCATAAGGTTGATAATTTTCAGATTTCAACAAGACAAATAATCATATTCGTACTCGATCATCATTATCTTTGCCTTATAGGCTAGGTAGAATCTATTGTTTTGTTGTATTGTGATGTTATCATGCTTACACACTTTTGTCTGGATGCTTTTCATCTTTGGTCGTATTGTATTGGAATGTCTGTCAACTTGAATCGAGATCCTATCACTATTCTTTGTATATGTATGCCAGTAGATTAGGTTTGAATAGAAACATGGTGGGAGTTCGTATCCCATGTAGAAATGAATCCAGTTCACCTTTGTGTCTAATGTTTAAACTCTCTTATCTGGGACAGGTAACCTTCGTATACCAGGCTGTGAGTCATACTTATTGTGTATGTGTGTGTGTGGGGGGGTGTTGGGGGCTGATGATGCTACTTAGTCGCTCAGACTTATGCGTCAGACTTTATTAGTTGCTTTTCTGCATTAAAATGTTTTATTTCAATGCAAATTATTTTAATTCAGCAGTTGAAGTGTATATATACCAATCAAATTTAGGTTCAGGACTGAAGACTATCTAACTGTCATTATTATTAACATATAAGCGTGACACACTATGAACATCCAAGAGATACACCACACACAAAATCTCGTAGTTTGTGCGAGGGATGGGATATTGCCCGGACACTTATACGGAAGCAGGTGGGTTGTCTTAGGAGACCATTTTGCCCTAGCTTTTGACTTGAAATGTGATCCATAAGTCAGTGGAGCATCGTCAGGAGTTGCGTTCTCATGGTTGACGGTAACTGAAGCAGGTTCATATACCGCTATTCTATCCGTTCGGATTGTGGAGCCCATTTACAACATAGGTCTACAATGAGAGTTTTCCAACTCCCCTAGGTAGACAGACCTGCATATCCACCAATTCAATTGTAAGCGCCAAAGGTTCGTATTCTCCCTTTCAACTTTGTGAAGAACACCGATACTGTGTGAAGGCAGTGGATAGGACATACCTGGCAGAGAATATGATTACGGGGCTATTTGGGAGCATTTCGAGAGGTAGACTAAAGTGTACCCACTTTCAGTCGTGTCTAATTGCTTACCGGGGCACATAAAAGCTAAATTGTATCCATTATAATGATTTTTACAATATAAGAAGTAAAATATAGCGCACTTATGTTAGCATTACTGGATCGAAATGCTGTGACTTGAAGCTATCGAGTTATGTTACTCATTATCTTAGTAGTTTGACGAATAGGTTGTAGTTAATGATACCTGTGTTGTTATTGTTGTTATAGAGACGTGGGACATTCACCTGTACACTCAACTTTGTCATCAGGTATCGGGTTCAAATCCTGCCCTTATCTGCTTCAGCCTGAGAAACTGACTGGATAGCATTATCAGCCCTCATACAGTTAACATAAATGGATACATAAAATACATGTTCTGAGCAGCTGAGTTCGAATATTTCGCCTTCCACTAAAATATATTTCCTGAATCTTTTGTAATTATTATTTATTATTGTCAATTTTCTTTACTGCTTTTATATCTTCACAGTATCATAACATTTTTATCTGACACACAGTTCTCAGTGTCTTATATCTCTGTTAGAAATAATTATTTAAAAAAGGAAATAATGTCTAATAAATGTACTTATATCTTACTTTAGGTGTACTTAATGTACCCAGTAACTCAGGTGGAACAACATTTGTTCTCACTGCTAGTGGATTTATGCATAAGTAAGTTACTATATATTGTTTTAGTTATCATTTATAAATGCTTTCTATGCCTACATGTATGTAGTCGAATGTTAGCTTAACTTAATTGTGTGTATTCATTAAAATTAGATCAAGTTAATGGCTAGAGTGTAGTTCAGTAGTAGCAGAGTGGACGTCCAGGTCCGATCCCCAGCTGGTTGACACTCCTAAACATTGCCTAGCTGGAAGTTAACCATAAAAAGACGGAGATGGTTGAATGTGATGCTAGCAAACTCATCCTAAAGAAACACACTACTGTCAGCAAAACTTCAAAAAGCTTGAAGGCCTATCATCCACCTGGAACTCAAGGAATGAAAAAAAAATTACTGGTGTGGGAAAGTACGTCCAGATGTATGCTACACAGTCGGGCTAAGCCTTGGTGGATACAGTTTTCAAATAGTCTTTTTTCTCTCTTTCTGTGAATAGTCGTGCAACTAATTTCAGGGAAGTTTATACTTTACGTAGGACAATATACAAGTATTCACAGGATTGGTCACCAGGTGACATCAGTTAGAGAACCATTGGAGAACAAGGAAGTGACCAAACCTGTAACCAATCAAATCCCTGCTTGCTAGCATTTAATAATAAATGTGATACTCACTAGCAACTGTCTGTCTGGGTTCAACATAGAACTTTTCACCGAAGTGCAGCAGTTCGAGTTGCCACGTTCCAAATAGCACACAGAGGTGGACAAGAAGATGAGTGAAGACAATCAATAGAGTTTGACAAGTATAAGAGTGAAACAGAATGAGTAATGGTAGAAAGGAATATGAAAGATTACAGAGACTGAATACATCTGCGCTGGCCATTGACAACGATTTTCAGCCATGTCACCTATTGTCTCCAGCCATTGACTCCTAGAGTCCCGAGGGCCCCAACCTGGAAGTCTGAATCTCCCTACCTGACTCAGTCATGGATTGATGCCATGTTTTTGTTTGGCCACCACCACCTGCACCTATATCAGCTAGTAATGCCAGCCGGGGGGGGCGATGGTTAGGCATGCGCAGCACGTGACCTAGCCATTTCAATCTATGTAACTTTATAGCCTCGTTGATTGATTTCCTACGCCTAACGCCAACATTACTTGCCTTATTATACCACCTAACGTGAGAAAGAGATCGTAGACATCTTTGTTTTTGATAAAGGTGCAGGTTGGAAAAGAGTAAGTGATGGCCAAACAAAAACATGGCATCAATCCGTGAAATCCTTGACAGTTAAATTGAGTCAGGTAGGGAGATGCCGACTTCCGGGTTGGGACCCTCAGGACTCTAAGAATCAATGGCTGGAGACAATAGGTGACATGGCTGAAAATCGTTGTCAATGGCCAGCGCAGATGTATTCAGTCTCTGTAATCTTTCATATTCCTTTCTAACATTACCAATTCTGTTTCACACACTGACTCTGTACAGAAAGCTACCTGGAGTTCCAGTGATAAGTTCGGTAAGAGAATAGTTACTCGCCTATAATGTTGACTGGAAGTTGCGCTGAATATATCACGAATTGGCAGAGGTTAGAATTCATGAACCGTTGGGTCGGATCCCAGTGGCTGAATGGTCTGTGGGCTCATCTCTTAGCCACAAGATCCTGCGTTCGAACCGTAGTGGGTGGGTACCTACTGCCGAAACAGGTGATATCCTAGTCTTCTCTTTTGGTTTCCAATGTCTTTTCCACAAACTATGCCAAATATCGAAGAGGTAATTGTAAGGAAATATGGTTATTATTTATTTATATATTCATATATGCAATTATTATTATTTCCTTGGGTTCCGAATGGAAAATACAGATTCAGCAGCAAATCTCCATTGCACTCTGTACCATGCATTCGTTTTAGCTGGATCTCCACGATTACCATAAGCTTTCATTTCTATATCACTGTTGCACCCACACTGTGAACTCGTCGTTTCTCATTCGAGCTCCCTTCAAAGGGCCTGGCGTGGGGCACTCCATAGTAATAAAGCATCATTAAGTAATCGATAAAATTCAGCAACTTTGTAAAATGTAATTTACTATACCTCCCTCCGTACTACACTTTATGACGGCTTCTAAACTGAAGCGAGTTGGCTGGCTTTAATGTAAATGTCATTTAGAGATGCGTGTATAATAGACTATAAGCCGTATATATATATTGTTTTATGACTGTTAATATTACCTGGCTGCTTCAAACTTTCTAAGTAGAACGGAATCTGAATCCAAGTTGAAAGCTTAATTTTATTGAGCCAACTGATAACTCTCACTTACTTACACCGTATTGATATTGTGTCACGTTGAGATGTGACATTGCATACATCTTGTAGATTACTAGTTAGCCAAAGACGTTAATTCGATTAATCTTCATTCTGTATGTGTTATGGATAGAGGTAAAAGAAAATATCCGTAGATTTTATTAACAGAATTACTAGACTAAGCAATTCATCACAGGTTAAAGTGTTATTCAATTCGCCTAAACCTGAATGACAAGTGTTGGTGTAAGAGAAGACGACAAGAAACTTGGTAACGAATTTTTTTAGTAAGAAAAAAACACACCATATTTACACATTTTTAACCACATTAAATTTCAGCTAGGTCAACGAAGAATAAAGTGCTCTGATTGGTTGTCAATTTGCCGAAGGTTGAACCTTGGGACAAAAAGTTATCCAATGCGATTATTTCTTGACCACAATGTAAACTAAATCCAAATCTAAGGGATGAACACTTTTATCTCTGCAGCCATTGACTTAAAATTTTTGTTTTTTAAATTTTGGCTGCTTGCTATCAATTTGCGTCTATATACTACTGACAAATCGTGTTAGTAGCATACACCACATTAGTATTATAAATCTGCACACAATATATGTGTGGATTATATAACCCGTTACTTCTACCGAAGTGTATTGAGTATTTGATTTCGAATAATTGAGATTACATTTATACATCGTATTGTATACTCTCTTCCTCTATTTATTCTAATGTCTTTTTTCTATGTATATACATTTCTGATTAGGTTTGAATTAGAATCAAAATTCGGTGATTTTGTTAAAGGTACTCCATGTGCTGTTTGCAATAATAGAATGCGATTTCGTCTACAGCATTGTGTTTATTGCAAGTAAGTTATCATAATAATAATAATAATTTCTGGATATCCTGAAGTCGAACTGTTTTACAAGTGTTAGTTTGTAAGGATTTGATATGTGTCAAGTTTCATCATGAGCTGACATCAGTTAAAAAATCAATGGAAAATCAGAGAGTATCGGATAGTTATTTCGTCCTAGTTTGGGACTCTTCATCACGGTACGCGCCCACGGGGGGGTTTCGAACCCAGGGCCTTCCGGTTACAAGTGGTTCTTTAACTGATATCAGCTTGTGATCAAACCTGAAACAAACCAAATGCTCAAAAACTAACTTTTGAAGATTAATCTGATGGTTGTGTAGGATGAAGTTTCCTGGAGTTCTAGCGAGAAGTCGTGACCAGTGTCTTCCATGAAGTCGGGCATGTGGACAAAAACTCTCCGGATGACATTGTCTGGTGCCAGTCACGCTAAAATTACGAATTTGTAGAAGTTAGAATTCATAAGCTGGTCATTGAGTCAGGTCCCAGTGGTTGAATGGTCTACAAGATTGCCTTGTAACCGGAAGGTCCTGGGGTTCGAACCTATTGTGGTGGGTGTGTACACCCGATGAGTCCACAACTACGATGAAACAATTGTCCAGTACTCTCAGGTTCTCGCTAAGTGATATCAGTTTGTGATCAAACTTCCAACTGTTTATTAGTGGCTAATTGCTAGAGATTGTATTGAATTAAACCGAATTTCGTGGAGAATAATGAGGATTTAATGAATCTGTGAGTTCATGCTGGAGTGAATGCATCTACTCCATTGAGAACAATTTTGCAATTTATCACCAACAGTTGTAAGCTATTGGTTCTTAGAATCCCGAGGACCCCCAGTCAGGTAGTCTAAACCCTCCCTATTTGACTCATGGCAACATCCAAAGAATTCATGTTTTGCTGCCGTGTTTTGATCTGACCACCCTTTTCCAGTCTAACCTCATCGATGAGGAAGGTGATGGCTTAACATACATAATATGTCCTGGTCATCTGAATGCATGCGGCTTAACAGTCTCATGGGTTAACTCTCCCTGCCTACCTAAGAGTCTATGCCTAACCTCAATATTTTTGATCACATTATACCACCTAATACGATAGATACCATGTGGAAACACCTTCTTCATGACTTTCACTCTCTACTGTTTTGTCTCACAAACCATAACAGAAGAAGATGAGGCAAATACCTGCTCAGTACGCACTTCCATTGATGAGTAGCCAGCCGGATAACATGTGTGTGAAAGATGACGCTAATGCTAGTTGAGTTGAGTTATAATTAGAACTCCTGACAAGTGGATAATTAGGATGACAGTTACTTACTGACAAGATTAGATGGCGATGTTGCTGTATCGTGAACTTACAGGAGTTATTATTCATGTAGACCTTTGGATTCCAGTGTATATTAGCCAGACAATAATGTGATTGTTTCGTAAACTGACTTACTTGAGTTCGATTGGTGTTGGGAGTCTTTTAGTGTGTTAAATGGATAAGAAACGTTTATGTATAAGATAACTGTGATGGACAAAATTGTGTAATTTTACGGGATTGAAGCATTAAAGACCGAGTTATTTGATCCTAGTTATAATAGGTTAATTTTGGTTGGGTATACGCCATAGATTCGTCACTCAGCACCAACAACAAAATTCGGTCGGTTTTCCTATACAAACATCAAGTCGGTTCTTCTATACGGATCAGAAACTTGGCGGGCGGGTCACAAAGAATATTTCCAACAGCCTGTCGCAGACCTTCATCAACAACTGTCTTCGCTCTATACTGAAGATCACATGGCAGGGCCGGAAAAAATCACCAACAGGAAACTATGGGCACAAACAAATAAAACAAGAACCAATCGCCCAACAAATATGCAAGAGGAAGTGGAGAGGATTAGAAGAAAGCCGGTTGGTGACATCGCGCGTCAGGCTATTGCTGGAGTGGAACCAGACCGAAAGAGAAGCGGCGAGTGGGACGTCAGTGCAAGGGCGACATGGAGGAGATCGTGTGAAAAGGAGTTGAAACAGTATGGACTAACATGGATGCAGATGAAAAGTAGAGCAGAAGACAGAAGCAAGTAGAGACGTGGAGTTGAAGCCCTATGTTCTACTAGGAGCCCAAGAGAACAATAATAATATAATAATAATAATACGCCATGGATTGAATGAATGCATTTCGTATCTTCATTTATATCCGATTTATTCTTTGTTTCTTATATTAAATACTTACTATACGGCAGTATGTACACATTAATTTCTTTTTATTGCTTTCTTCCTTATCCCCGTGTATCAATGTAGAATTAAAGTGCACAAAAGTTGTGTTTCACATTCAAGACGACTTCCGTGTATAGGATCTGGTGGTCAGAATAATGATTTACATGAATTAAAAGGTAATTTGAATTACTTTATTATTATTACTACTACTAATATTAGCATATTTTGATGAAATTATGATATACTTGTAATTGTCATCTATCATATTCATCGTTGTTTATTTACACAAGCAGACATATACTGATAGAATTGAGTCAGCACCAACACCAAGAACTCGTTGTGGGATAGGTCTGTCTGTCTGTTTTCGACATAGAACTTTGCACAAATGTGCGGAAGTTCAAGTCGCCACATTCCGTGTAGCACGCGAAGCAAGAGAAGAAAGTACAAGAAAAGCATAATAGAAACAGTGAGCAGAGGTGTGAGACAAAGGAGTAATAAAGAAATACAAAACAGTTTCATTGAAGATCATAAGTCACAGGGAGTGGATGCATCTGCGCCACTGAGAACGATTTTGAGCCATGTCACCAATTGTTTCCAACCATAGATTTTTACCGTCCCGAGGACCCCAGCCTGGAAGTCTACACCTTCCTACGTGGCTAAGACCAACTGTTGTGGATTTCATTGACTGATGCCAAGTTTTTGTTTGACCGCCGCTAGCTTTTTTCCAGCCTGACCCTATATCCGCTAACATTGCTCGTCGAGGGAGGCGATGACTTGGCATACGTAACACATGTCCTAACCATCTCAGTCGATGTAGCTTCACGACTTCGTCGATTGATTTCCCCTGTTTACCTAGAACTCTACGCCTAACCTCCATGTTGCTCACCTTATTATGCCACTTTACACGGGAAATAGAACGCAGGCACCTATGATCAAAGACAGCTAGTCTTTTCATGTCTTCCACTCTCAGTGGCCAGGTCTCACAACCATAAAGGAGGACGGAGCGGACTGATGAGCAGTACACCCGCCCTTTGGTCGATAGTCGAACATCTCGTCTACGCCAGAGTCGGCGTAAACTAACAAATGCGAAACGAGCCCCTTGTATTCGTGCTGAGATTTCGTCAGAGATCAGCCCGTTGGGGCTGATGGTACTTCCCAAATAAGTGAAGCGGTCAACGTGCTCTACCACTTCACTTCCTATTTTTAAACTAGGCGTCGATGTAGTCCAGTCCTGTAACATCATCTTGCATTTGGCGGGAGCGAATCGCATGCCAAACATTCGTAGATTGCTGTTCAAGGTGTTTAGAAGACTCTGCATTTCGTCAGCGTCTTCGCCTAGAAGGACTATATCGTCTGCATATTCCAAGTCAACGAGATTATTCCCAGGTAGCAAGTCAATCCCTGAATCGCTGAAGTCACCTAGGGTTAAGTCCATTAACACATCTATGATGAAGTTGAATAGAAAAGGAGATAATGGGCATCCTTGACGGACACCACTGGTCGTCATCAGTTCAGATGACAGCTCGCCGTAAGCCCTCACCTGGCTGTATGAGTACGAATAGAGTGCCTTAATCAGTGCAATATATTTTCTTGGAATTCCCTTTACAGCCAAGCATCTCCAGAGAACTTCCCGATCGACAGAGTCGAATGCTGCCTTTAGGTCAAGAAATATAATGACTGTTGGACGCCGGTAGGAATGCCTATGTTCTAGAATCTGTCGGAGGGTGAAGATATGATCAATACACCCTCTTCCTGGTCTAAAGCCTGCCTGGCTCTCTCGTGTTTGTGCTTCCCGAGCACCACTCAGTCTACGCATGATTATTGAGCCTAAGACTTTAGATACTATATTAGTCAAGCTAATCCCTCTGTGATTATCACAGGAAGACTTGTCTCCCTTCTTGTATATGGGGATAATCAGTGACTTACACCAACCCGATGGGACTTCTTCTGATTCCCAGACGCTGCCTAGTACCTCAGTTAATCCGGACAGTAAGCTGTCTCCACCGTACTTAAATACCTCTGGCGTCATTCCATCAGGTCCCGCTGCTTTGCCTAGTTTCAGATTGGTGACAGCTTTAGTAACCTCAGTTAGTGACGGAGGACCTGTGTCTATATCCCATTCAGGGAGGTGTTGGATGCTCGGAAGGTTGAGCGTGGCTGTGGGCAAATTAAACTGCTCCTCATAATGCTCTTTCCAACGATCCAGTCGTCTATCCTGGAGCTAATTATAGTGCCATTTTTTTCCGAGATTGTCTCACTTATGATTTGTCTTCTCCCACCCGTTTCCCTGATGAGTCCAAAGAGTTGCCTGGTGTTGCCTATCCTCGAAGCTTTCTCCATCTCTTTGGCTTTTGTCGCCCACCACTGTTCACGGTCCTTGCGGAGACTTTTCGTAAGTTTCCTCTTGTGCAGCTTTCGCTCCTCATTGAATTCGGAGCTCGCCGGAATAAGTCTTCTAGCATCTATCAGTTCGGATGAGGCGGTGGAGATCCAGTGGTTTTTACTCACCTTTGGGTTTACCTTATTCACAGCTTTTACAGCTGTATCTATGGCTGCCTGGATATTTTTCCAAGCTTCTTCAGGGTGAGCACAGCTGTCGAACACAGATATGTGTTTAGCTAGTTCTTCCTGAAATACGGATTTAGTTTCCTGATCGAGCTGGGGACGTGATGGTTTTACCGCCAGCTGTTTCCTACGTCCGTTCAGTCGTAAGCACACCCGAGCGCGGACCAGTGCATGGTCGGTATCTACGCACGTGTTCCAGAAGGAGCGACAATCTCCTACCGACCCACGCCAACGATAGCTTATTGCTATGTGGTCTATTTGTGTCCAGCGTTGGTTTGACGAAGGGGGTCTCCAAGTCAAACATATGGGATAGGACATTGTTTAAACTCCAGGTATTCTCATAACATTCCCGAAGGTGGTTAGTCGTGAGTCCAAATAACCCATCAATCCACCCCCCCCCCAATTGTTGACGTCTCTGACTTCAGCACTAGGTGGTATGGGGATTCGTATCTCAGTGGTTACTGTGGGAGGCATCAATTCTGTTAAGGCTGTCAATATGTCTTGATAATGACTACCACGGCGTCTAACCAACATTACACGTCAGTTTAAAGTGCATCGTGGTGGCGAGTCGCCCAGCTTTGCACCAACACTAAAATGTGGGAAATTGAGATTGGTGGTTGCCTCCTAATAGCACCACTAATTTTTGTTTTCAAAAAAAAGAGGACAGCAGAGAATAGAAGAACGTGGAGATGTGTTATTGAAGCTGCATAATATAATAATCAGTTATTATTCAGTGATAAACTTCGAAAAATTTTAATAGAGGATAGTTGTATTGATTTGATGATAGTGAATAGCGATGAACTTGTCAGTTAGATGTATCTGCATTTCAAGTGAATGAAGGCGTTTCGACTGAATTGAGACTCAAAACCAACACAGCTATCGTTTCAAACACCAAAGCGTTATCCACTAGCTCTCTTCTGAAGTATGAGAGCGCCACCTCTTGTGGAACAGGCATTACAATTGTTTGTCACACCACTGAGGAACGGTTCGACCTTGTGGAAATCTCATATATATATATATATATGTATATATATATGTATATATATATGTATATATAATCTGTGCTGTTACGTAATCTATAATGATGCAATCATTTATTTGTTTCTTTTTCTTTGGTGTTTTTGTTAAATACTACTAGGTTCACCGAATGTGCCTCATCGACTACACGCGAATGTGTTAACAACTAGTCAAACAAATCTCCGTCCTGCACATTCCACTCCTGCATTTCAAGTTAGCTGCCTTTCTCTTTTTTCTTTCCTCAAAGAGTTTTGTTCTTTACATTTTTTTCAATCACTGTTTTAATCATTTTTAAGTTAATTAGAATTCAATTACACTTGGACTGGATTATGAGATAAAGTGTAAGGAGCTGACAAAAAGAACGGGATTACATTGGACTAAAAAATAGGATTCTTTACGATATGGACTCCGTGGATGGTTTACGTCTAATATCACCGACAAGTTGATAGAAGAGCGAGACAGCTCAGACAGGAATTCTAAAGAACATAGAGAAGATAGAGAGATGATAAAGACAAACAACCAACCGACAGCAACACCAACAAACACCAATCACTGTCTAAAGGGAATCACCTCTTTCACTTGCCTAGGTAGTAGATATCCTGTCAACTACAAGTGTAACCAATGAAGATGTTAAAGACAAGATGGGAAGAACAAGGCAAGCCTTCATCATTGTAAAATAGGTATAGAAATAGATATGCAACAGGGGTCTTTGCGAACAACCCCACAAAGAAACTACTGCTCAATAAATATACCGAAGAAAATGGAAATGAATCGGACAGATGCTGAGGGGACCGTTGAATAATAACATCTCGTGGTAAACAGACTCTCGAGTAGAACCTGGATAGAAAACAACCAATGGGATGTGTGTCTGATGTTGACACAAAATGGTTATGTGAGGAGAAGATAAAAGCTTATGAGTAATGGTTGGGTCAGCTGAAGAGTACTTCAAAGAACAGGATGAAGTGGAGATGGGTTGTTGAAGCCTTGTGTTTCACTTGGAACCTAAGGGAATAACAGTGATAGTAATATTCATAAATACCCAGAAGAGGTTTTTCACACATCAAACTACACTTCTTATTTAAGGGCTATTGGTTCTACCTATTTTCTTCAGGCGTGGAGAAGGTAAGGCAAAATTCGAAGTGGAGATCCATTGACTGGAAATGGAGTGCTGTATAAAGCCCCAGTGAGCCCCATGACTATATATTCCACTTTACTTAGGGATTTATATTTGTGACTTAATTTTTCCCTCGGTAATATAGACTGTGATACACGCACACACACACATCCCCATACACTTGGTGTGTAACGGGTTCGATTTAACTCTGTGTTAATTGAATTCTTTTATTTTTACGAGTTGATCACAGATTGATATCAGTTAGAGAACCATCAAAAAGCCTGGGAGTACTGGATACCTGTAACATCCCTTCAACAGTACACACCCACCACACCGGGGTTAGAACCCAGGACCATCCAATTACAAGGCAAGCGCGTATACCATTCAGTCACTGGGACCCGATTCATTGGCTCATCAATTCTAACTTCTACCAATTCGTGATTTAGCGCGACCCCAACCATTGTCGTTGGTGGGACATCCATCCACACACGTGACATCTAATTGGACCTCACTGGTCACGACTTCTCACTAGAACTCCAGGAAACTCCATCCTGTAGCAAGTCACTAGCGAGTGTCAGAACCCAGGAAGGTTCTGGGTTCGAACCTCAACGCAGTGGGTTTGTACTGCCGATGATTCCAAAAACTAAGATGAAACAGCTGTCCAGTACTCCAGTTCTGGTTTTCAATGGTTCTCTAACTGATATCGATCCGTGATAAACTCGTAAAGAAACAAAACTAACCCTTACAAACCAAACTATAGAAAGTGAATTCTTTTAACTATATTATCAATATACTGAATCATGCGCAAGTACTTAAGATAATTGTGTACTGTGCGGATCAATTTCAACTACTTGTTGTTGTTTTCTTATGTCTCTCACCATTATGTTGGCATAAAGTATCAAATTCACTTATTGGTATACTTTTCGCTGTAGAGGTGTAGCATATTAACGCTCTAACACTCGACTTTCAACTGATAAAGGATAGAGAAGGTTGTAGCACTATTAGTATTCTAGCCAGCTAGTTCCAGGTGTGAATTCCTCTTCACCTACACTACTGTAAGAGTAGAGAGTGACTCGGTGATATTATCAGTGTGATGGATAACTTATTATTTTATGTAGGAAAATCTATAACAGGTGTAGGTGGGCTCACCTGGTTCATCAATAACAATACTTCTGTGTAAATTTCATTGGACACACTTACTGCTATGGTTGTGAATCTCTGGCAGGTAATCTTGCTAAAAGCATTACTATCGGTAAACTAACTAATGCTTTACAAAACCAGTTTATCGCTTTATTACCTAATGACCTAACATACTTATCACCGGTAAACCAACCTTCAATTATGACGCGCATTTTGGTTAAATTTAATCAATGACGGTGCTTACTATTGTTATCACTATTATACTGTGTATATTGTGACCTTATAGATATTAATCCTTCTCTTATATACATATGTATATATATCTTGTGTGATTGTATAGTTGTAAATATGCTTACTCTATGTACATATTATTTGTCATACTGATGATGCCTATAAACTGACGTCTTTTTTGTACAAAAACTAGGGATATATTGTCATCATTTCTAAAGGAGGCGTAATAATATTAGTTAGGGAATCATTGAGAATCAGTTAGAAGTGGACGGCTGTTTTGTCCCAATTCGACAGTATGCACCCACTGGGTTCTGAACCCAGGACTTTCTGGTTCCAAGGTAAGCCACTGGGGGACCCCCACTCAATGGTCTATGAATTCTAGCGTCTGCCAGTTCCCGATGTATATATTTAGCTCAATCGTCAGCCAGTGTCACAAGCAAATCGTGACCAGTAGGGTGCAGCAGGTCGGGTGTAAGGGCAAATACTCGCCGAAGACAGTGGCTAGCGGTTGCCCCATCTCGTAAATTGGCAGAAGTTAGAATTCATGGACTGGCTATTGGATCGGGTCCCGATGGCTTAATGGTATACCACCTCACCTCGTAACCAGGAGTTCCTGGGTACTGGTGAAGAGTCCCAAACTAGGACGAAACAACTGTCCAGTACTCCCTACAGGTTTTCCTATGGTTCTCTAACTAATGTCAGCTCATGATGAAATCCTGTAACCAATCAACCAAATCCCTACAAACCAATACTTGAATTCTTCTTCTGTTACCGGAGTTGTTGGCTCTAACTAGTTGTGACTTCTCAATAGAACTCCAGGTAGCTTTTTATATAGAGCCAATCTCTAGTGAGCATCAAATTAAATTACCAAATGTTAGTTTAGCATGGGTTCGACTATGGTCACAGGGTTCGAACCCCGCTGGGTGCGTGCTGTTGAAGAGTCGCAAGCTGGAACGAGACAGCTGTCGATTACTCCCTAGTTATCCAATGGCTCTGTAACTGATATCAAGTGGTGATCAGATAGATATATTGGTCAATTGATTATTCTTATAGTTAAATATGCAGGTGTATGTACAGATACAAGTGTATTTTTGTTGTTTTCCTCTTTCCTCTTTTAGAGTTCTGATTCAAATAGTGCCTCATCGTGTACAAGTTCAACTCCAGGTTCACCATTTGTTACAGGTGCTTCTTCGCTAATGAATACTACAACATTGGCTACATCATGTTGTACACGGTTAGATAGTTCTACTAGTGGAGGAGGCGGAGGAGGTATCGGTGGTAGTATTGGTCAGATAGTAGTCTCATTAGGCTCACCTCCACCAAGAAATTTAGGCAATACATGTATGCTGAATCATTCAACAACAAGTCATTTATCATCACCAGTCAGTATACACTCGTATGGGACAACAGCTAGTGGAGTTGTCAATAATAATACACAACAACCCCATTCTCCTCGACATTCCGGTTCTTGTTTTAATCATTTTGAATTTCCTAGTAAGTTTGTTTTTGATAAATATATGCATATCTTTGAGGTTTTATGTGTAATATTTTTATATTTATTTCAAATTAAAATGTCTTACGCAATCGCTTCCACATATGTGTAAAACTTGGGCACTGAGTGAGAGGTCACGGTGATATGTAATCCTGAATCAAATTGTTTTTGAGACATATCACACACACACACTCACAGTGAAACAGTATTATTTATCGGATGATGAAGTTTCGAACACAATGTTTTATTATTATTATTTATTGTCAAGTCAATCGAAACTAGACAACTTCAAAACTTTTGTTTAACAGCTCTTTTTTTTATATTCCTTCCTATCCGTCATATGGGGAAGTAGAATTTTCCACATGTCTTCGAGAGAGGTGTTAAATCATTGCACGTATTTTCAGTAGATTCGATCAATAAAGCTTCCGTTGTCTATATATCTCTCTCTCCCTACCTTGTTATGTTAGATTTTAAAACTGTCATCTTATCCCATCATCCTATGCTGTATGGTTGTGTGTAATTGCATGTAGTGAGTGCTATAACTGCTACGTTATTCTCCAGATTTTGCATCTTATTTGGATCAACTAATCTACATTTCGCTAAGTTTTTGTGCTCCGCTAGTCTGAGTAACCCTGTTCTACTACTTTGACCTAACTGAGTATAGGAGTAAGAGAAGGGTGTCTGCCTACTATCACTGACGTTATTCTTAGTTGTGGTGGACTGGATTATGTGTCAGACTGTGTGTTGGGATCGATAAGACAGGAACACGTTGTACTGATCGATAAGAAGAATCTAGAAGATCTGGATTTAGCGCGTGGATGATTTATGCTAACCAGAAATAGTTGGAAACAAGAAGCTGGGAGGTGACGAACCGACCAAGACGCGATTGCTGAACATATATATATATATATATATATATATATATATATGTAGGAGAAAATGGAGATGGATTGGGCATACATTGAGGAGGCCGTGGAGTGACATCACAGGCAATGCAGGCCATCGCTCGAGTGGAATCAGAATGGGAAGCGGTGACCAATGGGTCATCAGTGTGAGGGTAACATGGAGGAGATAAGAGATTATGGGCGATCGTGGATCCAGCTGAAGAGGACAGCAGAGAATAAGAGAAAGTGGAGGTGTGTTGTTGAAGCCCTGTGTTGCACTTGGAACCTAACTGAAATAATAATAATAGTAATAATTTGATCTGACAATCATTGCGGGTATTAGATTAGACTTAATTATTTTGTTCAATTGGCTGCATAGTATCCTTTAACCGAAATAATTTGTTTCTGAATGCATGTGTTAGTTTATATGCAACTTTTGTATTCCTGGATTGTGTTCGAAACAATGTCATCCAGTAAATAGTATTATTTCACCGTATGGTGAAATATGGAAGTACTAACTTTTGGTTGGATTCCTAATTTAGGGGTAGAGGTAGGGGGGAGAGAAAAATTGAAATGGGGGAATGTATGCTGACCATTTCATTTATTTTTTTGAGAAGTTTCCATCCTCTCTAACTAACAGGATCCTAGCTCAGATAGAAAAGGCTGGTTTGGTAATATTTGCCTAGTTGTACAATCTTTGACGAATACTTGATTGATGGATGTGTTTGTGTGTGTGTGTGTGTGTATGTACTGCTCACAGGGTCGCCGTGTTCTTCTTAACGCTCTGTGTAAGACATTGTTGTTAAAAGTGGAGAATATAGAGGGAAAGAGACTAGTTGTCTTTGAGCACAAATCCATTCACTTATTGTTATCTTCTGAATTCATTAAATTCTCATTATTATCTATATATATAATCATTCTTTTTCAAGTAAGTTTCCATTTATTATATATTGCCTTTGTATCGTGAACTACTGTTCTACGTTGAAAATTCAGTCAGTCGGTCAATCTCTTCTCGTTCGTAATATGTCAGTAGAATATGTAATTGGTTAGATTATAGATTGTGGTGTGCTTCGGTGGCACAGTGGTTAGGACGCTCACCGACTATGCACATGGTCCGGGGCTCGATCCCCCTCCACTGACGCACTCCTTTACCTCGCTAAGTCAGAAATAAAGCTGGTAAAGAGGGAAGGTTGGGCATGAGGCTAGCAACCTCATCTCATGAAAATAATCACGACTGCTACAGAGACTACAAGCCTCTAGCTTGAAGCCGTATATTTCACTGGGAACACGAGGGATTAAAAAAAATAGATTGTAGTGAAAGATTTTTTTTACACATAAATGTTCAAGATTCCGAAACATTGTGAATAAAACTGTGTCTCAACTATTTCATAATGAATATCTGCTTTGCTTGTCCGTCAGTGGTTCTTCGGTAAGAATGCTCGCCAATCACTCAATCACGAGATCAGGATTTGGTTTCCAGCCAACGCGCTGCTAATCCTCATCTAGCGCCTAACTAGTATTAAGTCAAGTAAAGAGGAATGGTGGAAGTTAGGCATAATGAAACTAATGATCCTACCGTGTAAAAAAACAACAGCACCGTTACTGAAACTTCATAGCTCAAGTTTGAAGCCTTATGATTCACTTGGAAAGTATTTTGTCTTATTCCTTTACGTTCCCAATGGAACATAGGGCTTCACGCTAGGAGTTTGAAGTTTCGGTAGGAGTGGTGTTTATTTTTACTGGATGGGGTTGCTGGTCTCATGTCCAACCTTCCGTCTTTACCAGTCTTATTATTGGCTTAGAGAGGTAAAGGAGTGCGTGGGAGAGCATTCTACCGCTGTGCTACTGACGCACTTGAACAGTATAAGAATGGGAAAATCGCTTTGTTGAATTGTTGACTGATAATAAGGTGGTGATTATATATATGTGTTGCTGGTAATCACTGATGATTGACAGTGAAATAAATCCTAAACGCGTACAAACACTCGCGTGTGCGCATACATTTAGTCTTATTTTAAACTAGTTAATCGTATGGATTTTCATATTCACTAACGTGTTATACTTGGTTTTCACAGTTTACTGTGAATGTTTATTATCAGTGACGAACACTGCATTACTAAGTTATAAGTAGTCAACCTAAGACCGAGCACTTCGGTCCAATCAATCGAAAGGAAAATCTAAAATTCAATTAAATAATTAATATGACCCGTGGCACAAGATGGGGCTCTCGTAGCCCAAGTGGTCTAGTGGCTAGCGCTTTGGTGTTTAAAACTACGGGCACTGGGTTCGAGCCTCGGTGGGAACATCATCACTCACTGACTGGGGAATGCAGGTACATCCACTAGCTGACGACTCCCAAATAGGACGAAATGCGCGTTATCCACTGCTAGTCACCATCCTCCAATTAAATTCTAATCACATGCCCAGACATCGTTGAAGCGTCTGCACAAGAAGCCGACATGTCAACCTGAGACCGAGCACTTGGGTCCAATCACCAATCGACGGGAAAATCTAAAATTCAATTAAATAAGTAGTCATAGTTTTGCTTGACTGATGAAAATTTCGCTTTCTTTTCTCTCTCTCTCTCTCTCCATATTTTTCTATATTTGTCATTATTATTTCTTGATATACAGCATTGATTTGGTTAGTATCTTTGTTTGTGGATTTTAACCCTTTGATTACTTTTGGTTACAGAGTGCCTTTGGTATTATTTATGACTATTTAAATCTAACTTTCACAGTCTAGATAACATGATTTCAGCTAAATGTTATTCTCAAGTATATTATTATTTAAACACAACAAAAAACTTGGTACAATAGAGCACCAAGAAGATGCGCTACACAATATTGATATTCATAATGAATACTGACAAACATAGACATCAATTCGACTGGGACAACGTTCAAATGTTAGACAGAAAAAACACCAAGAATGCTAGAGAATTTGTAGAAGGTGGCCTGGAATTCCAATGAATCGTCAGTCAATAGACACATCGATATATACAAGATTTACCAATCGATAAGAAGGAAATCCTACACATGAAGAGTCAAACTTAAGGTCAAGAAAACAATCGGTTCCAATAGAAGTAGCCTAGAGGATGTGTAAATACACAAAAACAACCAATCACGGTGTTCAAGGTCACCAGGAAAGATGATTAATGAACTCGTGGAGAAATCGAAAAGCTCACTTCAACAAATTGAAGTACGCACTGAAGATGTTGCCTAGTAGGAGGCGATGAAAGCTTCGAGAATAAACTATCCAGCTCAGAGTACACAACTACATCGAAAAACAAAACGAACTACTACTGCTACCTTGCTTCTCATTGAATAACAAATTTTAAGCAAACATCATTAGTTGGAACAGTCAGTTCCTTTGATAGATTGGATCTCCTTTAGGACCTTTTTTCTCATATTTCTCATCAATCCCTAAATACTGCGATGTATCAGAAAATTAGTTTGTCTAGAGAACCGTAAACAGTAGTCATATCATCTTCTTAATACCTTACTTAAAGTCGTCATTAAGTTAATTTGGTTCGTGTGGTGGCTATTATCATTTAAATAACATTATCAAGTATTGGTTTTGTAGGGATTTAGTTTGATTGGATGGATGATTTCATCATGAGCTGACATCAGTTAGAGAACCACTGAAAAACCTGGGAGTACTGGACAGCTGTTTCGTCCTAGTTTGAGTTGAAGATGAAGCAGTAACTTATCGAAGAAGATATTGTGAAATGGTCGAGGTATGTCGTGAATTGGCAGAATTTAGAATTCATGGGCTGGCCATTGGATCGGGTCCCAGTGGCTCAATGGTCTACGGGTCGGAATCATGGTGGTGGGTGCGTACTGATGAAGAGTCCCAAACTAGGACGGAGGAAACAGTTGTCCAGTACTCCCAGGTTTTTAGTGGTTCTCTAACTGATGTCAGCTCATGATGAAATCCTCCATCCAAATAACATTATGTTTATTTCAAGGCATGGAAGGTTCAAAGCATTCTTACTAGGAGATGACGTATCCACAGGGGATTAAGCAACTTCTTCGTTTGATCCATTATTCATAACACATTCAATAAATAAATCATCTTTGAATGCATGGATGGTATAAGGTTGTGACTTATATTGGTCAAGGCTCTTGACTTCTAACCAAGCAGTAGATCACGCATTCGAAGCTCGCTCCATGCAAAAAGGTTTGTGGAGCCACGGGCAGTTATAACTAGCCGTCACACGAATAAGATCTGGCTCATTGCCGACTACACGGAATTGTAAGAGGTGTTTTGAATAACTCTCAGTTGACTTGTTTATTGAATGATTGAAACTTGAATAAGGCATTAAGAAGACAAATTTTGTGACATGATATCATTTCGTAGTTTCTTTACAACCGCTTTACAACTAACATGGTTTACAATGATAAAGTAAAGTTCATGAAAATTACTCAGTCAAATAAAAACAAAAGTACATACTAATGACCAATCATATTTATATACGTCATGTAGTCTTTTCAGGTTAGGCGAAGATTGAAGTCTATTGTTTTTTGTACACACAGTTTAGCCTGTATATGATTAATCCCACAGTGCTTCCATCACCTTCAATAACCTTGAATTAGAGTTATGTGAAATAATTGTGAAACAGTCATTAATATTGATTTTGTGACCAGACATTAATAAGTGTTTTGCAATGGATGATGATGGATTTCTATTAAGATTAATCGTGTTAGGATTTTCGATATGATTTAGTAGCCATTTTGAAACATGTTCTTTTTGACGACATTGGAACATTCTGTTGGTTCTACCTATATAGGTGTCGTCGCAGCTGCAGGTGAACTTGTAGATACAGTTTGAAGTAGAGTCCACAGAATTTCGTCCTTTAATCGTAGGTACAAGGGTCGAAAATGTTCGGCAAGTGAGAAAAAGAGATGGGGCGTAGAATGTGCGTTTGATGGCTGATCGAAGTCTTTGAGCTAGTTGTCAACTGCATAATCTGGTCGCCCTTGAATGGTAGGTTAATAAAGATGGCTTTCTTTGGTACAGAAGCTGTCTTTTCGAGATGTGGTTTTTCTTTGCTGTGACAAGTGATAAAGCTCTCCGGATAACCATTAGCTAATAAAACTGAATGTATATGTCGAAGCTCATCCATTAGTGTGTTACTCGTGCATATTTTTCGGGCCCTTGAGAACAAACATTTCACTAGGGAACGTTTATACTGGATAGGAACAAAACTGGTAAAATGAAGATATTGTCCACTCCATGTCTGTTTACGAAAAATAGATCGCTGAATCGTTCCATCATCTCTCCTGGTCATTGTAATATCCAGGAAACCGAGTTTGTTATTCGATTCTAGTTCGGAAGTCACTCGGATATTTGGATGAATATGATTAAATAGGTTAATAAAGTTTTCAATAGATTTACTATTATTACCAATAATAAGAGTATCATCTACATAACGTTTATACAGCATAAATTCTCCAAGTATGCCTTGCATTTGTTTCTCCAATTTCGACATAAATATATCTGCTAACAGGGGCCCCAGAGGGCTCCCCATCGCGAAATTTGTCCTCTTAATGCCTTGTTCAAATTTATCAAAGGGACTAATTGTTTTGATTGAAACTTGTCAATTCTTTGTTTTCACCTTAAAATATCTGATGAATAGTGAAGTGGCTAATTGGCTTAAGGACATAATTTCTAGTCCCGGTTTCGAATCCCATTACACTTAATTTAATCTCTGCTGCTGGGTAATGTGTAATCAGCCCTTAGACAATAGTTAAGTGACTCCTAACCATCTAGTACATGAAAAATGTGTCCGATGACTAGTTTATAACAGCACTAATTTTAATAATAATAATAATGAGAATAGTAATTGGATCGTATTTGTTTTTCAATTATTCCCCTCTCTCTTGCACGCCTCTTTGTCGCCTCTCGCCGTCCTGTTCAGGTATCAATCATCCTATTGTAGATAATCATTTAATATCGAATAATCAATTATCAGATGGAAATACAGATAATAACGCTTTAACTAGGTAAGTTAGAGAGTATTGATTTTAAATGTATTTAGAAAAGTATACATGCTATTTTTGATTTCATTTAGTTTGGTTTGACTTTTTGCTTCTCTATTCAAAATTTAAAACAATCAGCATTCTTACTTGATCAAATGGTAATAGGATTCGTCAGTGTTTAGTACTCTGGATATACCTTATTAGATATACTCCATAAAGTATATGCTTCATTCATTGGCTTAAGCAATTAGTTGACTTAAAGATAGGTCCAGGTTCGAGTCCCACACTGTACTCCTACTTCAGCTTATACAAGTAGATGATATCATTACTCCACATGTGATAAGTGTGATTCTTACCCCGATATATGAAAGATGTGTTCCGAGTAATCACTCATTATTAATTTGGGCACTGAAAGATACGCAATATATTAAAGTTTGTGAGAGTGGTGTGGAATATTGTCCAGACTCTTAGACTGAATCAGGTGGTTGTCTTAAAGTGACACCTCTTCGAGCCTTTGACCTGAAGTGAATTCTGATCTGCAAGGCTATGGAGTGAACCGGTGATAAAAACAAGTTCATACGCCACCATTCGATCCGTTTGGGATTCATGAGCCTATGTACATCATAGGTTTGGAGTGAGCGTTTTCCAGATGCAGAAAGGATAGGCAACAGGGAGATCTGAGAATTACCCAACCAAGAACCTATTGTTCATCAAGTATGCTGAAGAAATGCAGGTGGATAGGATACACCCTGAGACGACCGTTGAGTGACACCACGTGCCAGACAGGCTGTCGAGTGGAACCCGTTCGGGAAATGATGAGTTAGACGTTGTTTCGTGTATGACATAGAGTAGATAGTATGAGGAGGAAATGAGGGATTACCAGCTATCATGAAACCAACTAATGAAGAGTGTAGAGAAGAGAATGAAATGGAGATCTGCTATTGAAGTCTTATTTTCCACTCGGAACTCAAAGGAATAAAATCAATAATAATGTAATGAATTTAGTTGTACCTTTGCTTTGATGATTACACGTTAAGTTTGATCATGGATATTGATATCAGACAGAGAACCATTGAAAACCAAAGTGTGGAGTAATAGACAGCTGTCTGGTGACCAGTTGGAAGTCAGCCAGGTCACGTGTCAGGAAAACAATTCGCCGGTAATATTTTCCTGGAGGTGGCACTAAAAATCGCGAAGTTGGATTTCATGGATCAATAGATTGCGTCTGAGTAAGTGAAATGGTCAACCAGCTCGGCTGGTAAACTGTATGTCTTCAGTTCGATCTCCGATTGGGTCATACTGAGGGTCAACCGTTCAGTACTCCCTGTTAGGTTTCATTGGTTGTGTAATTAATATCAAACTTCGAGCCAATCAAATCCCTACAAACTAGTGCCTAAAGATTACAGATCAACTAGCATTTGGTGGACTAGACGAGTAAGTAGCTTATAAATTGATAGTTTATTGTGGCTCTCACTTTCAAAGGTAGACAAGTATAGGGCAACCTCCAGCCAATCGCACTGGTTACAACTTCTCACCAGAACTCTGGGTAGCTACCTGTATACAACCAATCGCTAGTGAGCATCAGATTATTTATCAAACGTTGGTTTGCAGGGATTTGATTGGTTACAGGTTTGTTCACGGGTTTAAATCAATTTGAGAACCTTTGAAACATCTGGGAGTAACTGGAAGGTCGTGGGTTTGGACCCCGGTGGTCGTGTACTGCTGAAGAGCCCCAAACCAGGGCGAAAAAGATAGTATCCGATACTCTTTGGTTTTCTAATGATTCTCATATCGATATCAACTCGTAACCAATCAGGTCCCTGCAAAAGATAAAAGCAAATATTTCATTTCAAACTAAACACACAGTATCTCTTACTTCTTATTGACTAATACAGTCTTACAAAAGGTTATTTATGAGCATGCATAGCTCATCAGTAACTCACGTCTCTGACTGCTGCACTGTGTACCTCAAGTTGAAGTCTCTGACGGTCGTCGGTGTGTGTGTGAGGGGGGGGGCGGGGCTGGGCGAATATTAGTCGCATATATATACGCCTTGCTTGACGAGTGCCACCTTAAGTCAGCCACACACAGTTTTCCCTACTAATTGCCTCCAACCATCTAACAGATTCATTCATCCTTATTATATATATATATATATATATATATATATATATATATATATATATATATATTTGATACCATTTTTTCTCCTCTTTCAATAACTAGCACTGTATCCTCCGGTGAAAGTGAACGAACTGTTGTCGATGTAAGTGTGTAATTTTTTTTACTAAATTACTTACTATTTTTGTGTAACATACCCTTTGTCTTCGTTTTTTGGAGTGTGTGCATGTATGTATGTGTGTTTAAATGAGAGAGAGAGAGAGCAATAGAAAAATCCGCTTAGTGACTTCAAACTGACTTTTCATTATGTATCTGAAATATAAAAAAACAACCCGAAATGAATGATTTGTTTAAGTTTTTTGAATGATGAGGTGTTTGTCTATCTATTTGTCTGCCTGTCTGTCTGTGTGAGTGTGCTTTTGTTGAAATCTGTGTTTCTAAGTGTAAAGCGAGACGATTACTATTGCTTATTTTTGTGTGGTTTTTCTTGTTTCTTTAATTAAAAATAAAAAGAAAGAGGTAGGGCAGAATTTGGTTTTCAATTTTAGATCTCTTTCCGCAAGATTCTACTTCGATATGCTCTAAACGTTGTGATTTTTTTGTTCTTGTTCACCAATGTCGGTGAATTTATGGATGAAAGATCTAAATGTGAAATATTGTAAATCTGCCTGTGAATACAACGCTTGTAATGATAATAATAGTAATAATAATGACTACAAAAACTACAGTTTCTACAGGTATATTGTTACACAAGAAGATAAGAGATTTAAGAACGGAACTTTATCATGGGAAAACACATCATATTTATACATTTTTAGCTACATTAAAGTTCTACTAGGTTAGAAGAGATTACTTTGTTCTGATTGGTTAGAGTTGACGATCCACTCAAGGTTAAACAGGTTGTCCAATCAGGTTATTCCATATTCACAACATCGATAATTTTCCCCTAAACATCGTTGAAGGCCAAGTTAAACTTTAAGTACCACTATCTACTAGCGGAGTGCGACTGCATCTGTGACCTTTAGTGAAATCTGACAAATAATGTTGTCATCATCAATCAAAAATATGCTCATCGAAGTGTTATGCTATTAAATGGGATATCTGGCAAGTTTCAGCTTAGCTTTAAACCAAGGACAAGTTAGGATTAGGTTAACCTGATAAAGGTGACATTAGAGTTGGTTCGAGTTAGATTACAGTTAGTTTAGGGATATTTTCATGTTAAGTTTAGGTTCAGGAAAAAAGATTAGGGTTATTGTTAGAGTTAGAAGCCCTAAAAAGTTACATACATAGCATGTGGTTAAATTACTCTGTTGTTATAAGAATAAACATTGTGCACTATGGGGTGGTGGTAGAGTATAATTCCATTGTGGGTAAAATTTATTTTGATAAATTCTCACAGTTTTATACATTAATATTCACTGATGACCACGTTTCGAGCACAATTTATTGCGCAGGAAATATTACTGTATTACACTATGAGACTTTTTTCAAAATAAATTTTACCCACAATGGAAATACACTCTGTTTTGATACTCCAACCTAAAATTGAGAGCTATTTTTATCATATGTGAGAGCAAGGTATCCTCTGTAATACTTTTATACAGCTTTTATACATTTCTTCCATAAATATATATGTATTCCATATACAAAAATGCCTCCTTCACGTGATTGGTGCGCTCGAGGTCATCCGCTGACTGGTAGTTAGCGATGCTTATAGTTTAATAATATCAATACTCATAGATTAAAGTTCCAAAGCCCCAGTAAAACATAATCATGCATCAAGATAACAACACTAAAGTGAATATCAAACAAATTTAGTATTTAAGAATTTAAAAAAGAATGGATACTGAACAGAGAATACTCTTTTCGATAACTTTATCATCAGGAGTGCCAAAAGAGAATTGCCTTCCTGGATGTCCTTCTTACTAGAAAACCAGATGGTAGCATAAAAAGAAATTTGCATGGAAAGAGCACTTGGACAGGACAATATATACATTTTCACAGCTTCGTTCCTATCAAGTACAAAAAAAATTAAGCAAAGACCCTCAGCCACAGAGTTAGAGCTATACGATCAGAAGAAGTGATTGAAAATGAATTCAGCATTGTATATGATACTTTGATCGAAAATAGCTATCCCGAAAAATTTATCAAGAAACATATGACAAAGAAAGCGGAAAAAGACTACTCACTATCCGTAAACAAGAAGCCTCTTTGTATACGACTGCGATTCAAAGGCGATATACCAAGTGAAATAATTACGAAGAAATTGAGAAAATCAGTTCAAAGAACTTTTAATGCCGGTGAACTACACGTATTACTCTCTACACGACCGATGGTGATTCCTCGATCAAAAGATGAAGTACCTAGACTAGCCACTTTAAATTGTATCTACCAATTCAATTACGCTGATGGTGGAGCGAGTTATTATCGGCCGTTGCCCCAGGAACCTGAATTTTTGGGTCTCGAGAACATCTCCCACTATGGCTAAGTAAAGGTGTAGTGAAAACCATTACCAGTTCGGTACTGGACCATCTGGTGCAAACCGGCCGGCCACAAAGCCAGCCAGCCAGCGTGGAAGAATCCTTTCCCACCATCCACCGGGTGCCTAATAAATTGCCAAAATCATCGAAACACCGCATGCTCCAAACAGCATAAGCTATTGCACTTCGCCTCAAACCACCAGTGCTCTGTGTAAAAAAGAAATAAATCCAGCCCCTACTACTACCCTGGCCTTCATTAAAGGCTATAAATTCATGAATTTCTATTATTATCTTTCCTAATTTTTCTGACATTCAGTTTATTGTTATGTTGATGCTATTGAAGTGTAATCTATTGACATTATTGATTAGATGTTATTTAAACAGCAACATTCATTCATTCACTATAATGTGTATATATAACTGTAGAGCTTGATGATGAATAGGTTATCGAAAAGAGTATTCTTTGTTCAGTATCCATTTTTTTGTAAATTTATGAATTTATTGCTTCACAACAGGCATCAGAATAGCAATAGTGGCTAGACCTGCCTGTTTCTCACACAGAATTCTGGTTGATCTGAGCCAATATTGCAATGGCGTCTAATGTTTGAAGTATTCAGGATATATAGAGAGCTTTGGTAATTAATTCGATATCCGGTAGGTGATCGGTGATAGGTAGTGAACAACTCTTCAATGTTACCTTTTCGACCTGTTTGGATGACGTGGTCTAAAATATAGAACTGTTGATAGTTTTCACCCACACATTTAGCCACACTGGTAGGTGTTTCACAGCATTGAAGATAAAGTTCCTAGAGCTCATCACAGCTAATGTAAGGGATCCTACAGGAACAACTGAATCGATAGATACAATAAGACGGGTGGTTAGCATAGGTACTTTGTTGTTTAGCTCCAGAAGCATAACGGGTCATGTATATATATATATATATATATATATATATCATGTCTTTTCACAACTGATTTGTGTTCCTGGATTCTGATTCGAAGGGAACTCCCACTTTGACCGATGTGTAATGTCTGTTACAGTTCATACAGTTTATTTTGTAAATGGTGTTAATTTTATCTTCTTTTTCTGTTGGATCTTTTGGCTTGCACAATATCGAATGAAGTGATTGTGCTGACTGGCTGGCTGGCTTGTGTGCTGTATATATTTCATCAAACGGTTTCAGTATTCTAGCTGTTATTTCAGAGATATTTTTGTTTTTGTATATGGCTCCGCAACTAAACCCTAACCAGCTCACAGAACACAAATAATTGCATATCATCCATCTGAGGTGTACAAATCTTCTCTCTTATTTTAAATAAAGACATTACTTTTATTATACCAAACAATAATTCTTTTATTATTATTATTATTATTACGAATGCATATCACTGTAGAACCTGATGAAGAGAGCTAAGTTATCAAGAAGAAGAATGCTCTTTGTTCTTTATTAATCAGTCTTTTAAAAGTACAAATAGTTGACACAGATGTAGCAATAAATATAATGAAGATAAATAGTATGATAATGCTAACTGATTTTAGTAATTAAATTAGGTCAATATCTTATAAGTTAAACTTTGTGCTAAAGACTAAATATGGGTGGATAGTAGTCACACTTGTTTAAGTATAAATCTGATGAAAGGTATAAAACCCTTGAATCAATCAATGCGAAATATAAGAATTTAACCCTTGAAGATTAATCTGATGGTGTCTAGTGACTGGTTACAGGATAAAGTTGCCTGGAGTTCTATTGGGGTCCATCCGCTCATGAATGAGGAGTTATACTCACCGATAATATTGGCTGCTGGTCGCACTAAAATCAATAAAAACTAGAATTCGTGGGCCGGCTATTGATTCCCAATGGCGCTAAATGGTCTATGAGCTCGCCTTGCAATCAGTTGGTGCGTGCTGATGATGATTCCTAAACTAGGGCGAAACAGGTGATATCTAATACTTCCTGTTGGCTTTCAGTAGTTCTCAAACTGAAAGCAATCCGTGAGCAAACTAGTACCAGTTGCACAAGAGTTGGCTCTTGTTTGTATTCTGCCAATAATTGCCTAGAGGGTTCAATTCTCATTGAGAATAACCATCCCTCATAATGGTAGGCGGGGCATTCTGCTAGCTGGTGGGTACCTGGATATAACGAGACGCTACTATTCTATACTTTTTTATTTCTTGCATTCCAAGTGGAATAATAGTCTTAGAGGTTTGAAGTTTCGGTGGCTGTGGTGTTTTTCACAAGGCGGGTTTGCTAGCCTTTCAGGTGATCTTACAAAGATCCTTTCTTTGCGTTTGAGGATGGTTTATTGTGTGATTTCTACTTTTAGAAGTGTTGGTTTGTAGAAATTCGATTGAGTTTCAAATTAAATCACGAACTGACACAAGATAAAAACTCTCCAGCAGTACTCACCTATGAACCCATCGGGGATCAAATCGGCGAGAATTCAGATTTATCCATTGACTAATCAACCACTGGAATGAAGTTGAATAGTTCATGAATTTAAAATTTTGCCAATTCGCAATCTATAGTGGTATGAGCGAGTGTCTGTCGTCACACTTAACTTAGTCATAGCGTCTCATTAGAACTCTAGGGCGTTGGTCTTCTTCTGAAAGTTTCTAACTGTAATGAAATAGCTGGTCTTCAGTAGTTTATCTGACTAATATCAGTTCACAATCTAACTTAATACTTCATTTGTTAGGAGTATTGGGAAGCTGTTTCGGCCTAGCTTAGGACTCTTGATCAAGGATCAAACCTGGGATCTTCAGGTGATGGGATAAAGTTCGTTGATGATTCAACCACTTCTACCGGAAACTATGAATTCGAATTTCTGTGAATTCATGATATAGCCCTACTGCTAACAGATACCTTCAATTGAACATCCACTTCACCTTGACCCATGGTGGGTCCCACTGGTCTCGATTTTTCAACACACCTTGAGAACATTCATCCAGGTGTTATCAATGAGCTTGAGGTTGATATTTAGATTGTGGGTTTCTGTATGGTTTTGGAGGTTCCGTGTTCCAGATTTCGATCTCTGACAAGATTGTATGTGTGTGTGCGCACTGTTGTGAAGAATTCCATAGTACAATGAAACAGCTGTCTAGTGCTTCCTCGTCTACGTGGTTCATAGCGAAGTCTACATTGAAATAAATCCTCTTCCCTAGAAAAATACACCATAATCTAAATTAACTTAATATCTCTGATTGGATACTATCTAATCCTTCTTATTGTTGGTGAATATTGAATTCTATCATCTGTCACGTTTGTGATGTGGCCAACACATGGTTATGTGGATCGCGGCGTTACAGTGCACTCATAATTGTTATTGTTATATGATTGGAGACAATCGACAGGAAGCCTTGCTTGACCTTGTTTCTGTGTTCGTCAGCAAGGCGTATGTGCAGTTCTGAAGGAACTTAGGTTACTCCTGAGATTCGAATCTGTGTCATTCACAGTGCTACAATCAGTTAGAGACACGTTACCACTGAACTGTTCACTTTTGTAATTCACCTCCTATCGGAGTGTATATTTTCCACAAATTGGAAGATATGCAAGTGAAAAGCAACAAGTTGGCAGAAAAAGCAACCAAATAAGATAGGCCTTCAGGTGGACATAGAGAAAACAGATGTGATGAAGATTCCTTGGCAACAGCAACAACAACAGACAACGATCAGCATAAATGGGAGGAACCTGATGGAAACAACCTCCTTTACCTGCCGACGTGGGAAGCATCGTTTCAACTACAGGCGGAATTGACGAGGATATCAAAGCCAGAATCGGAAAAGCAAGACAAGCTTTCATTACTCTTAAGTCTCTGTGGAGGTCAACATCAGTCAGCATCAAAAATAAGATCCAGATTTTCAACTCCAATGTGAAATCTATTCAGTGCTACTCACTATACGGATCAGAGACTTGGCGCGTCATAAAGAGCACCTGAAACAAACTACAGACCTTCATTAACAGTTGTCTTCGCTCAATACTCAAGATCAGATGGCCGGCCAGAAAAGATCAGCAACACAGATCTCTGGCAATGAGCGAACCAACCCAGCAGGAACTGATTGTGCAACAAATAAGCAGGAAGAAATGGAGATGGATTGGCTGGCCATACTCTGAGGAAACCATCAAGTGACATCACTAGACAAGCCATTGCTTGAGTGGAACCTGATAGGGAAGCAGCGAGTTGGTCGTCAGTGCAAGGGTGACTTGGAGGAGGTCATGTGAGGAGGAGATGAAAGCATGTGGGCAGACTTGGAGCAGGGTGAAAAAGTCGGCAGGAAACCGAAGGCAATGGAGATGCTCAGCTGAAGCCCTATGTTCCCCTAGGAATTAAAGGAAATAATAATAGGACTGTATTAGACACATCAAATAAAGTGATAGTGACTAATGACACGAGTAAGTGTCTAATGAAAGTGCTGATAACTGCCAAGTAACACAAAATTTAGGTTTTAGGCTTTCTGATGGTCGCCTCCAACATACGTATATACACTTGCTTTGCATTATAGATGTTAATTTTTCTCATATTTAAAGCTATACATTAGAAACTAAATGGAAGAGTATAAACGTATTTAAACAAATCTAATGAACTTTTTTAAAATTTCTGCTTTACTACCATAACAATTTTGCTCTTTATCCGTCTCTCCATCTCCCTCTCTCGATTATGTTGTATATATGAATGATCACACATACAAGCGTGTATAATGTACATACATTAAATATTATACACTAGAACATTTAAACATTTGTTTTTAATAAGTAATTTTAATCTATGTTTGCTTAAGATTTTTCTATTTTATATAACATGCGTATTTTGCTTTGTTATTGTTGTCTTTCCTCTCTCCTTTCTACATCTACACATAGAATGCAGTACGTCGATTTGAGTCAATGGATAGTCAAGACGAATCATCTTTAATGCGAACAAATAGTGTAAGTTTCCATTTATGTGTGTATCTGTATGTGTGTGTGTGTGCGTGTGCGTGTACATGTATACATATGAGGGGTTTATATGTGATTCTTTATGTGTATGAACATATTATTATTATTAATATAATTAATACTAATATTACTCTATTCTTCTATTGTTTTATTCTGTCTTTCATAGTATGAACAAATATTAAAGTGGAATAATTAATGTATGTAAAAATTTCACTTGATTGCAATACTACTACTACTACCGCTACCATTAGTAGTACTTGCAGACAATAAATTATGGTGTTCATGTAACAAAAACTGCACCTTAATGTTATTATTGCCAAATTAGAGCTGAGTATTATCAGATAACTGCTACCTTATCGTGGTGGTCGGGTTTGAATACCGTAATGACCCAACATGCTAAACTGACTGGGACTCTGTCCCTGCAGGTCCTACCATGTCAGGAAGGTTGTTTGGATAGCGGTTAAACTAAAAGCAGTTACCATGGGGTACATGGGCTCCAGTATCCAATCGGATCAAATGGCGTATGAACCCATATGGGTCACCGGAAACCATGGGAATGCAGCTACTGACGCTGCTCCGCTGCCTTGCAGATTAGACTCCAAGTCAAAGGCTCGGAGGGGGGGGTGGTCCCTTAATAAAAGTACCTGCTTCGTTCTGGGCGCCCGGGCAGTATCTCAGCCCTCTCACACAATGAATTGAATGTGAAGCAACAAACAATCAATGAAACTTATCGCGTGCTATTACACGTGTTGCAATTTCCTTCTTTCTTCCCTTCCTCGATGATAGTCAACGAATACTGTTTGAACTTGTTAAGCACGACTGTTTTCCTTCCAGATGAAGTTCTTTATCCGTTCTCCACTTATGTATATATATATTCTCTCCATTTTCTTTCGTTTTTTCTTTTGATCTATGTTGTTTTATTATTATTGTGTGGCGCATCCTTCTTGGTGCCATATTGTACCAAGTTTTTATGCGTTTAAATAAATAAATAAATTATCATAATAAAAAGGTTAGAAATTATTATACTGCAGTTTGGGGATGAGTTAATTAGTATAAACTGTATTCCATTTATTAGTTGGTTTATTAGATGTATCACACTCAGTGTGAAACAGTATTATTTAATGGATGACAACGTTTCGAACAAAATTTATTGTGGTTTATAATCATATCAATCAATTGTAATCACACGACTTTGAAACTTGAGTTTTATAGTTTTCTTTGTCTTCTCCTATCTGTCGTTGTTGGGGTAGTAGAATTTTCCAGATGTCTGGGTGGACAGGTGTTGAATCATTCCTATTAAACACAAAAAATAATCGAGCAAAGAATATTCTTTTCGATAAATTCCTCTTCCGGCTCTACAATTATATATATGCATGTTTATATACACAGAATATTCTAGATGAGTAGTTAATAACAATATTAGTGTCTTTTTTAAATAATACCGATTTGTAAAGCATGACCAATGCAATTATTACATTCCTATGACACGTATTTGCAGTTGATTCGATAAACAAAGCTCCCATTATCAATCTCTTCCTCCCTTCACTCTGTTACATTAGATTTTAAAACTCACATCTTATCCCATCCATCTTATTGTATGGTTGTGTATGTGTGTGTGTGATTCCATGTAGTGCTATAGCTGAACTATTGTCTAAATTTCTTATCTTATTCAGCTCATCTAATCTAGATTTTACTGCTAGGTTTTCATGCTCGGCTACTCCCACTGACTGCCCCTGTTCTACTACTTTGACGTATGTATTTGACCTGAAGATCATTGCACGCAGGGTATTAGATAAACTAAATTGTTTCGTTTTATTGGCTTCACTGTCAGGATCCTTTAACCGACGAGGCTTGTTTCTAATTGAGTTTGTGGGTTTGAATGCTAGCCACTTTTATTCCTGCCTTGTTAAGAATTCCGTGTAAGGTTTCCGAGGTTCCTTCCTTGTATGCAATTACTACTGATGATTTAGATTCCTTATTGTTAGTGTTTTCATTATCTTGCGCATGTTTGACATGCATGTCGTCATTAATATTACTTCTACTATTATTATTATCATCACTATCACTACTATCATTATTTATTTTATTTTTACATTTCCCTACATACTTTCTGACTAATTTATCAGGGTAATTATTAAGTTTCAAAGCTTCTCTTATATGCCTCACTTCTTGTCTTAGAGTTTCCTGGACACTAATTGGTTTCTGTACCGTATTACTTAAAGATCGCACCAATCCTATTTTTACTGACATAGGATTGGGTGATCGAAAGTCCAAATATTTGTTTGAATGTGTGGGTTTCTTGTAAACACTAGTGTTTAACATCCCATCTTCTTTCCTTTTTACGGTACTGTCTAACATTGAAAGCTCCCCTTCCTGACTTTCCAATTCATAAGTGAATTGAATTGCCTCCATCTTTAAGTTAATATATTTGGAATATCTATTTATGTTCTGTGTACAGTGAATGTGTCATCTACATACCTCCACCATACTTTTAGGGTGGGGCTGAATATTTCAATCGCTATGTTTTCTCACCTATCCATGAATATATCATCCACTTCCGGGGATATTGATGAGCCCATGGTAACTCCTTCAGTTTGTTTGTATATTTTTCTTTGAAATTTAAATACTGTTGAAGTCAGGCAAAGCTGCACTCCCAGCATTATGTCCTCAAGTGGTACCTTCGTCCTAAGTTCGACTTCTTGGTTAGAAATGAGTTCGTTTCTGACTGCTTCTATAGACATTTATATACGTGTATGTAAGCTGACAATGTCAAAAGTAACCATTGTTTTTCTTCATTATCTAATTTTAAATTATCTAATCTATGTTTCAGTTCATAAAAATTTGTTAGCCTAGATTTTGAGTGTCTTTTAAGGGGATGGGGTTAGGACTCTCGCCGACCATGCACATGGTCCGGAGTTCGGTCCTCTGCCGACGCACACCTGATATCTATGGTCGGCCTGCAAAAATTGGGCTACCGATATCACATGCTGAAAATTCCATACCTGTACCTAAAAAATACGGTATGGTATCAAGCTGTAATCAAAATAAAAATAAAAAAGTAAAAAATCGAAATAAATAAAAAAAAATAAAAAATGGAGTTAATTGAATAACTGCGCTTTTGGTTTTTATATAAAGCGTCTTAGGAATATACCACACACACACACACACATCCAAAGTCCTAGTGTTTTCAGAGTTTTAACTAGTTCGTGATGTAAAGTAAACAGCCGCCAGGCATGCATGTGGTGTTCCGGGTTCGATTCCCGATCGGATGCACTTCGAAACTCTACCTGGTTTACTAACTGATAATAATAAGGCTGGAATAGAGAAAAGGTTAGTTGTGAGGCTGGTACCAACACCACCACCACTACCACCGAAAATTTGTAGCTTGGAACTGTGTTTGAAACACTGTATTTTTAGAAAATTATTACGAAGACAGCAGTGTACCTCTTTCACTTTAATAACCTTGAATTAAAGTTATGTGAAATCATTGAAACATAGTCATTAACAATATTGATTTTGTGACCAGACGTTAATATAAGTTCTTTGTAATGGATGATAATGGATTTCTATTCAGATGTAATTAAACAGTTACATTTGGATTTTCTGTGTGACTTAGAAACCACTTTGGAACATAATCTGACATGTCAACCTGAGACCGAGCACTTCGGTCTAATCAGTCGACAGGAAAATCTAAAATTGAATTAAATAATTAATATGACCTGTTGCACAAGAGGTGACTCTCGTGGCCGAAGCGGTCGAGTGGATAACGCTTTGATTTTTGAAACCGTGGGTACTGGGTTCGAGCCTCGGTGGGAACATCATCAACCACTAACTGGGAATGCAGGTACATTCACTAGCTTACGAGTCCCAAATAGGACGAAACGCGCGTTATCCTGGATACCACTGCTAGTCACCATCCACAAGTTAATTGCCACTTTGGAACATGTTCATTTCGACGATATTAGAAACATTCTATCGGTTCTATCCATATATGTATGTTTCACCACAAATGCAGATGAAATTGTGGATACTGTGTGAAGTACAGTTCAGAGAATATCGTTCTTTAATCGTACGTACAAGAATCGAAAATATACAGGATTTAAGGGAAAGGGGTGCAGCGTAGAATTCCCGTTTGATAGCTGACTGAAGCCCTTGAGTTTTCAAATGGACGATTTGATCTCCCTTGGATGGTAGCTTAATAAAGATAGCTAGCTTCCTTTGGTACAGAAGTTGTCTTTTCAAGAGGTACTCTCTTCGTTCTTTGATATACGATGAAGTTTTTTCATTTAGGATAATCACTAGCTAATAAAACTGAATATATTTGACGTAGCTTATCCGTTAGTGCGTCGTTCGTGCAAATCTTATAGACTGTTAAAAATTCATTATCGTCCTTTGCAAAGCACTTCCTTAACTATCCAATCACAAAATCAATATTTTTAATGACCGCTTTTTTAATTATATGACATAACTCTTATTCAAGGTTATTAAAGGTGATGTAATCACTTCGGATTAATACACATGCTTCTCAGATTATGTCTACAAATAGCAACAGACTTCAATCTTTGTCTATCCATAGACTACTTGACCTCTTTAAGTATTATTCGTTATCAGGATGTACTTTCGTTCTTATATAATTGAGTAATTGTCACAGATTTTGATTGGACACAAGTTAGTAACTAGTGTAGTGTATCCATTACTTCGTAGTGTTGTTGCAGACCGGATTCTGTCATCAGACAAGTTAGCAATGTGGCAGCCATTTTAGATGGCTTGCCATCACAATCCACTTTTAATTGTTGATATAAGATGATTGACAGCAATCAGTAGGAAGTCTTGCTTGACCTAGGTTTTATGCTTGTTGGCTGTCTTGTCAGCAATATATATCTGGAATCGTAAAAAATCCTTTGTCTCTCCTGAGATTCGAACCCGCATCTCTCAGCACTGTAGTCACAGACGTTACCACTGAGTTATTCGAGCTCTAATATCAAAAATTCAAAGTGCACTGTGATGGTGAACCACCTAGTGGCATCTTAGCCACATTCCAAACTTGACTGATGACAGAATTCAGTCTACAAAGGACTACACTAGTTAATAACTTTTGTCCAATCAAAGTATCCAATACAGTCCTACAGGAGGTCAGTCACGAACCTGGATAGGTCAGCGGTAACGTCTCTGACCAGTCGCTACTCTGGGTGACGTGGGTTTTAATCGCGTAGGGGACATGAGTTTCTTCAAGACAACGGATACGCCTTTCTGACTAGTGTGAGTACCACACACAAGCACGAAACCTAGGTTAGGCAAGGCTTTCTTCCGATGGCAAGTTGTAAAGCTACCGTTGAAAGAAACTATGAAAATGATGATGCCGTTTCATGACATTTATCTTGTAAATGTTTTATTTCAATTTATCAAAGGAACTAACTGGTTTCAATTCAACCAGCAGTGACTTCTTTTACTCTCTCTCTATCTTTCTTTTCTAATCCAATAGTTTTCTTATAAACTAGAGATAATCTCTTCACTGAATACTATCATTAAATCAGATTATTACTGTTATTATAATAATAATAATAATTAATGTGCCAATGTAATGCGTGCTAGCTAAGTAGACAGTATTTTATAAATTTAATTGGATTATGAAGAAAGTTGATCATTCATCCATCCATTCTCTACAAGGTCACGATTAGACAAAAGAAATACTTGTAAACTTTATAATTCTATGCTAACTAATACATATTATTAAAAAAACAATCAAAATTTTTTAAATATATATATGTAAGAAAGAGTTTAAAGGTCTGCATTCATTATTGTATATGATACGTGTTCATATCTTCAGTGCGTTTTTATATCAGAACTAGTCAGTCATATGAATGATATTTACACTACTATGAAAGTGTTTTTAATTCATCTTACTAAAAGAATAATGAACAGAAATAGTAGTGAATTGCATAGTTTTGATGTTTGCTTTGCTATGCTACATTTATTATTCCTTTAATGGCTGTGGAATATGGTCACACATTGTAAGTGAAAGACCTGATGAAGTTAGATGTTGAAGTATAATAGAGAAGATTTGTACAGCTCAGGTGGATGATTTGCAATTAGTAGTGTTCTCTGAGCTGGTTGGTTTAATTGCCGGGGCTTTCATTGTCCCCCTTCTGGACAAAATCCCCCTTCAGCGCATTTTTTAGCATAAAGTGAACTGATTTAAATTTCTTCATGAGTGAGGATAGAATTGCGTCTCCCGGTAACCATCTTTACATATGTGTATTGATCATTTTCTATTGACTTGGATTTTAAACTTTCTGGTCACATGATCTACTTTTTATTAGTTGGTATATTTGGTCCATATTAACATGTTTGTTAATCGCATATTCGTTTGAGACCAGGCTTCTAGGAATTCCCTGGCAGTAATTTCGGTGTTTCCTCTGTTTAAAATTTCGACATTATCCCAATCGACGTGATGTCCATAATTATCTATATGCATTGATGTGAAACAGGAATATATATCATGTCTTTTCACAACTGATTTGTGTTCCTGGATTCTGATTCGAAGGGGACTCCCACTTTGACCGATGTGTAATGTCTGTTACAGTTCATACAGTTTATTTTGTAAATGGTGCTAATTTTATCTTCTTTTTCTGTTGGATCTTTTGGCTTGCACAATATCGAATGAAGTGATTGTGCTGTCTGGCTGGCTGGCTTGTGTGCTGTATATATTTCATCAAACGGTTTCAGTATTCTAGCTGTTATTTCTGAGATATTTTTTATATACGGTAGGATGAATTTTCTTACATTCTTTGATGATGGTTCCTTGTTGGTGTTGTGATTCGATTTTAAACACCTTTTGATGAAATTTTTTGGATAACCATTCTTTTTGAAGACCGTTAGTAGGTATTTTCCTTCGGTTCTTTTGAAGTCTTGAGTGCTACAGTGTGTTTGAATTCTTTCAAACAATGTCTGCACACAGTTTCTTTTCTGAGTAAGTGAATTATTGCTAGTATAGTTGAGTATTTGATCTGTGTGCATTGATTTTCTATATACGTGTGTTTCTAAATTTCCTGTGTTGTTTTTCCTGATTAAGATATCTAAAAGTGGGATTTTGTTGTATAATTCTTCTTCTCTTGTGAATTTTATATCTTCAAATATGTTGTTTATTAATTTATGGGTATATTCTAAATCATTTCTCTTAATTATTACAAATGTATCCATCAACATAATGTACCCAGATTTTCGGTGTAATTATAAGTAGAGCTATTAATTCTTATCTTTGCATGACGCCTTCAGCTATTAATCCTGATATTGGCGATCCCATTGGTGTTCCTTTTATCTGTTCATATATTTGAGTATTGAATTGAAAGTATGTTGTAAGGCATACCTTTATGAGTTCTATCCAAGTTGAACATTGCGTTTTTATGTTTTCATCACTATTGAGTAAGTGTTGCATAGTTTCTGTTGCTAGTTCTGGACTAGTTGAAGTATATAATGCTTGTGACATCAAAGGACATCATTAATTCATTGTCGTCTACTTGAATGTTTTTGATTTTCTCTAAAAATTGGATTGACGAATTGATTGAATGATTGCGTGATTTTGTTAGGTAATTTAATTTCCTGAAAAGTTCTTTAGATAGATTATATGTTGATGTTGCTGGAAGCGAAACGATTGGTCGTAAGGGAATGTTTGGTTTGTGTAGTTTTGGTCTACCGTAGAATCGAGATAAAATAGGTCCGTTAGATTTCATTCGCCATTGATCTTGTTTTGTAATTTGTCCTGATGTCGTTAGTTTATTTAACGTTGTTTTGATCTTGTTATCTAATGTTTGTATAGGGTTTTTTGTCAACTGTTGATATTTATTATTATCTTTGAGTAAATCCTCTGCTTTCTTTATGTTGTCTTCTGTGTTCATTATTATCGTTGTTTTTCCTTTATCAGCCGGTAGAATAACTATATCTTTTCTATTCTTTAGTTTCTTCAATGCATTTCGCCCTTCATTGCTAACTTGGGATGCCTTAGATGTCTTTATCCACAGACGTTTGCTTTTTATTGGGGTTAGGTGTGTGTGTGTGTGTGTGTGTTAAGGAAGGGAAGTCAGTCGATGAGGTTGTGAAGGTGAATCAATTGAGATGACTAAGGACATGTGTTATGCATTCTGAGCCATCGCTTTCCTCGATGCGCGATGTTAGCTGACGTAAGATTAGGTTGGAAAGGAGATAGTGTTTGTCAAATCAAAACCTGTCATGAGTCTATGGAGTCTCTGGTAGTTTGCTTGAGCCATGTGGATATAGACTACGTGGTTGTGGTCGTCGGGATATTAAGAACAAGTGTTTGGAGACTATAAGTGATGTGGCTTAAATTCGTTCTCGATGGCGGAAATGCATTCACGCATTGTGATTTGCCATGTACAGAAAAACCCTATTATTTTTTTTTATGTTACTGTTCTTTCGCCCTCGCATCTCTGCTGATAATCATCTTTTTGAACCTCTTTTGCCTTCTTTTGTGTGATACATAGAGTGTGGCGGCCTGAGTTGCTACAATTCTGTGCAAAGTTCTATGTCGAGACCAGTCAGCCAGTCAATCATTCATTTAACTGATTGAATAATGAGAACTTATTTAAGTGATACACGTCTTCCATGAGTTACACTTGATGATATTACCACCCAACTGTTGAGTTTGAAGTATAGGGTATGAAGTATGCAGGATTTGAATCTAGACCGCACGGGGTAAAATTCGATTGCTTACACCGATTACTTACATCTCCACAATAAGTAAATAGAAGCATATTGAATCCATGAGATATACTAATGTGGTGTATTGTGTAATTACTTACTCAGATATGGTGATTGCTCCTGTATATCACACTTACATTAGTATTTCTCCTTATTTATATATGTTTCAAGTTTAATCACAAATTGGAATCAGTTACAGCAGGGTGTAATTGACAGCTGTTTTGTCTTAGCATGGGACTCCTCTTCAGTATGCACCCATGGCCTCACTGAGGATGAAATTCAAGACTTTCGAGTTACGACGTGAGTTTGTTCTTCTTGCAGCTATTGGCGCTTAGTAAAACGAAACAGTTGCCCAGTACTCTCTTTTGGTTTTCAATGGTTTTGTAACCGAAATCAGTTTCTTTTTTTATTATCAAACTTGGAAATCAATCACATCACTTCTATGCATATATATTATTCATTATTTGTAGATATCTGTTACACTAAAAGAATGGGATATACCAATGGAGAATTTATTCATCGGTGAAATTATTGGACGTGGTACATTTGGCACTGTATATCGCGGGAAATGGCACGGTGAAGTGGCTATTAAACGTATAGATTTTGATCCAGAAGATGCAGATGATTCAATACGCGTTGAAGCATTTAAACGTGAAGTTGCCCTATTGCATAAAACACGTCATGAAAATTTAGTTTTATTTATGGGTGCTTGTATGAAAGCACCTGATCTAGCTATTGTTACACAACTGAGTAGGGTAAGTTTTGCTTTAAAAAATAAGTCTTCTTTGTTTATCTTCAAGTTAATATTGTTTTTTTTTTCAGGTTATATAATGAGCTGACATCAGTTAGGGGGAGGTGGGAGGTACTGGACAGTCGTTTTGTCCGATTTTGGGACTATTCAGCAACACACATACTGGGGTTCGAATTCAGGACATCCCGATTACATGACGAGCCACTGAGGCCTTCTCAATGGCCTGTGAATTGTAATTTCTGCCAACTCGTGGTATATGTGCAGTGCGCCCGCCAACCAATATCGTTGGCGTATAAATGATCTCTTATCTAACCTAGTAGATAACTCTACTTACGACTTCTCATTAGTAATCTAGGTGGCTTTGTGTATAGAGCCGGTCTCTAGTGAGCGTCAGAATATTTATCAAGTTTTGGTTTGCAGATATTTGTACAGTTATAGGTTTCGTCACGAGGTAACATCAGTTGGAGAATGATTGAACACCTGGACAACTGTTTTGTCTTAGTTTAGGTCTCTACAGTACTCACTGATGACGCCACTTTGACGAAATTGTGATTAGTAAATTTAGCTTTGATTTTCAATACCTTCCTAATGTCTACGTTCTATATTTCTGTGCTTCATTCAATATCTCCTTAATAGAGTTACATCTTTGACTCAGTAAATTGTGAGAAAATAAGAAGTTGAATAGGAAGCCTTGGATCTTAGTTGTATACCTGTTGACACTCATCAGCAAGACGTATCTATAACCTTGAAGGAACTGACAATGTTTATCCCCTTTTACACTCTTTAAGCGGTCGGGTTTGGCTGCTACCCCATTCATTTGGCTTTGGACTAGACTGTACATGTACGCTGATTTAGTAGACCTGCTTCTATTTTGGAGCTTTTAATTTTTAATTCTATACATCTGGGAAACCAGTGTGTAGGATCATGAGTGGGTCACTTAACTTGTGTGTGGATGAAGAGTGCAGCCAACTATGTGAATTAATGTGACCTGCGTACTGCTTCGAACATCGACATCTTGAATGCATATCGTGGCTAAGGGATAGCGTGTCGTCGCTACGTGTATCTGAGGATCGGCTTTTTGTCGTATACCAGTTCACTTTATAGTCTGATGGTCCTGAGTTCAATTCTTGGTGGGAGTCATCTGTGTGCTTCGTTAGTTCAAAGGCGGAATACCCGCTAGTCAAGCATGTGGTTCTATTCGGAGCTGATGCACTCCTAAACTTCATCGAGTTGGTAGTAACTCCTTTTCAGAAGGAAGGTTGGGCATCAGGCTAGCAACCCCACCCCTTGAAAGCATATGCCCTACTATCAACTTCATAGCTGAAGTTTTGAAGTCATATGTTCCCATCGGAATGCAAAGCAGTGGAATGGTAAATAAAAGGCACAGAAACAAAAATAATATAAGATAAAGAGGGTATGGTTGAGTAATATGTACAATAGTTTGAGGTGATGTGACCGGCGTTAAAGAGTTTCTCGGTTTATAGCATTTTTCACTGAGGCGATGTCACCTCTTTACGGGTAAACTGGAAAGTGTTCTGTAACTTCATTTGATGAAGGGATTCGCATAAGACAACCTATATATATATATATATATATATATATATATATATATAGGTGGGCACGTATTGCTAAAGAGTCAAACTAGGACGTGCCCACTTGGGTTTCAGTGGGGTACAGCAGGTCGGATAAGGGGACAAATTCTCGCCAGCGATGACATTGGCTAGTGGTTGCATTCTATCGCGAATTGGCAGAAGTTGAAATTCATGGGTTGGCTATTGTGTAGGGACTGTTACGAGAGTTCATTAACATTACGAATATGAGAATAACAATCCAAATCAGTGAAACGTTAAGTAACAATATATTACCAAAAAATGCAGTAACGAGTTATATCAATAAAAAGGATTACTTGGATATAAAGTTTAAGTCCTCTGCTACAAATTATTTATATAATCCACGGGAACGTTAACTGTTGGGATTATGTCTACTGTAGATGCTGTATGCTGGTTGTAGAATTGTCTTCGGTTGAGGATAGTAGACTCCTACAATAAATCCAAAGTATGCAACACGGTGTGAGTGAAGCGCGTAAGCAGTAGCAGCCAGAGAGAGGGCGAAGTTCCCAACAGTAAAGTGTATTTCCAATTGTACCCGGAAGTTATATGTATATTTTAACAAGAGTCGTTTTAAACAAAAATCATGTACAATGTCTCTAATTTCTACAACTAACAAAAAGTGTACAATCACATTGTTACGTACTCCACAATTGGATCAGATCGCAGTGGCTGGCTTTGTAACCGAAAGGTCCTGGGCTCGAACCCTAGTGGTGGGTGTGTACAATTGAAGAGTCCCAAACTAGGACAAAACCACTGTCCAGTACTCCCAGGTTTTCTAACTCATGTCAGCTCATGATGAAATCCTCAAACCAATCAAATCCCAGCAAACCAACACTTGATGTTATATTTGTTAGGAGGGACAACATTATCTTTGTTAACCGTAAATTCATGATTAATGCAATCAATCAAATATTGATTATTTGTATATAATTTAAATTCCCTATATTATGAAGAATGAATGACTTAAGTGTGTCTACCTCAATGTGTGTGTGTGTGGAGGGGGGAAATATATATCCGAGTGATCAGTTAATTAGTTAGTCAGTTGACTACACAATATCATGATGATTGGAGGCTCATTCTAGTCAAGTCAGACAAAGGCTAACAACAAAAAAAATCAATAACAAAACTCCGTTATAAACAATATTCTTATCTACCACACCTTTCAGTGTGTTTCAAATTCTATGCTTACATTTTAGTAATGAAAGCTATCCATTCAAGCCATCTGTCTACCATCAGCTTAGGAGAAGACACAATCACATTAAAATCCTTTATCTGACTGAGCTCTACAAATCGTCTTTTCAATTACATATACTGAATATACATACATTATACACACATATGCATTGCTTGCTAACTGCTCGTCGTGTAGGTAGGTAGACTGGTACAAACTTTTATCTATCTAGTATAAGTTGCTTAGCTTTTATTCTGCAAACACCTTTTTTTAAATGCATACGCAAAGACATACGTACATTCATACGTGTACGCATAAAGGTTTATCTCGTGACTACTGGTATTTTTTTTGTCGTTGTTGTTCTCCAGGGGTCTGTATTTTCGTTCATTATTATTACTGTTATTATTATTATTTTACTGTCTAGTTGTTCTAATAAATAAATAAATCACAAAAAAAATCGATATATTCTTTCCAGGGTGAAACACTATATCACCTGATTCATGATCGAGACAATGTTATGCCAATCAATCGTACAATTAGTATTGCTAGTCAAATAGCTAAAGGTATGGGTTATTTGCACGCCAAGGGAATTGTACACCGGGATTTAAAAACGCGTAATATATTTTTAGAAGATAATTCACGTGTTGTTATCGGAGATTTTGGTGTCTTCAATTTTGTACGTTTGTGTAAAAAAGCTAAGTAAGTCTCGTTTATGTATTTATTTTTTTTTATTATAAGGAATTACTTTTATTTTGCTGGTTTAATTCATTTCAAGTTAGAGAAGTAGTGAAAATCAACCTACAGGAGTACTGGATGCTGGCTGTGTTTCGTCCTAGTTTCGGCTTCTTTAGCAGTATGTGCCTATTGGGTTTCGAACCTAGGATTTTCTGGTTACAAAACTACTGAGACATGACTCAAGGGTTTATAAATTTCAATTTCTAGCAGTTCATGATTTCAGCGTGATTGACACCAGCCAAATGTCAGTGACGGGATGAGCCCCACAAGTCACGATTTCTCAGTAGAACTAAAATCGCGAATTGGTAGAAATTAAAACTCATGGGCTGGAAATTAAATCACATCCCAGTGTACGAATGGTCTACGAGTCTGCTGTGTAACCGGAAGATCCTAGGTTCAAACCCTCATGTAGTAGTGGATGCGTACTGCGGATGATTTCAAAACTAGGGCCAAATGGCTATCCAGTACTCCTTTTTTGGTTTTCAATGATTCTATAACTGATATGATGTCCTTACAATCTAACTCTTGAAAATTCAAATTAATTGTCCATTTTGTTTCTTGTATATGTTTTATTTCGGATGATAATGGCTAACAGTTGGATGAAGGACATATGTTTCGTCTTTATTTGGGACCCATCATCTAGATGTACCTGCGTTCGTAATGAGTGTCTGTGTTCTGACAGCGTGTATATCTTGAATTCCTCTGCTAGTCACGGTCAACTGAAATAACTTCATATATTAATATTAAGACATCATCGAAGCATGCCCGTACTTAGAGCTGATATTCTAACAAAGCCTAAACATTTCCGTCCAACAGGGATAATCAATTAACGGAAAATGCTAAATTAACGTTAAAAAAAATAATAACTCATACCTTTTGCACAAGTGAGTGGCTTTCGTGGCCTAAATGACCTAGTGAATAATGCTTTGTATATTTAAAACGATGGACATACGGTTATAGTCTCTGTGGGAAGACAATCACTCAATAACTCACCCACTCATTGGAGATACATGTATACCTATCTGACAAGACTGAAGTGGAAACAAATGCTCCTCATTTAGATTTCACATGTAGACATTGTCAAGCAAACTAACAAATTATGTTAGTATTCAAAAGGATTCGTACTAGTGTAATAAGAGAAGACAAGGGCCAGGTAACATATCGTTTATTAAGGAAATCAACACGTATTTATATATTTTCATGTACATTATTATAGATCATTGTTAGTAGACAAACACAGTCTTCTAACTGGTTGTTTCTCACAGAAAGTTGACCTTGTATCTCTTTGTGACTGTTTCTTGAATGTCAGGTCATCTAAATGTTAACTGTATCTGCCTACGCAAAGTCTGCTGTGATTGGTTGTTGAATCAGTCTTTGTTCATATTTTCTCACCACCAATATTTGGGACATAAGCATTGACGTAAATTAATGTCTACCAATTTGGCTAGCAGCCTGCTCTCACCACACTCGTCCCCCCCCTGTCAAAAAGCTTCGCGCGCAGGCGTTCCGATCTTCTGGGTGATACATCCTCTAGTTGATGATTGTTACGGACCGGCTTGTCCCACTGTACCCATCGTTGGAGCTGGCGACATTTTCGTTTGAAGGAAACTAATCAAGTACAAATACCGAAATAACTTAGTAAATAACACTCTTTCTTATTACTTTTCACAAGTCATGCATATTATCATTCATTTACCGGGTTGGAGTTCTATTGCCTATAGATTTGGTCACAAGTCTAAGTAGTCCATCCTATAGTCATTCATTAATAAGTGGAATTAAGAACCTTGAACTTTAAACTCACTGAATACGTGTTAATGTGTTTATCCATGGAACCAGAATGTCGCAAGTTTAGCTCTTCTTAAGGTGATGGATTGCGAAACACGAAGGAAACAACTGTTTGGTGTTTTCTGATCTTCTACGTTTCTGAAAGCATTGATCGTGAAGTTGGTTTTTGAAAACTACTTTAACACTACAAAAATGCCGGAGACCTCTATCAACCACACATACACACACACACAACAGCTATATGACAGTCTCTCATGTCAGCTGATTCAAAACAGAAGTAAAGAAAGGCGGGCTTACGATCATCGATAATATTCTTCATTGTGATGGATTGGATCCATATGACAGGTCATGGGGAGTGAGAAGACAGGTATACGTGGGGACACCAACCTAGAAGACTAAAAGATTTGAACTTCGCAAACGATTTATATCTAATTATATCCTTGTTGAGAATTGTTATCCAGAACGATTTATTGCAGAATCTATGAATCCTAGACAACAAATGCCACCCATTATGGGTAAATTTTTGTTTTGATAAAGTCTCACAGTGTTATACAGTAATGTTTACTGATGACGTTTCGAGCACAATTTATTTCTCATAATCATATCAAGGTACTCACACGACTTCCTAACTTGATTTATATAGCTCCATTATTTTTCACTTGATTTGATTGGCAGTAGTATTTTCCATATTTCAGGTATGAGTGATGAATCATTCTTATTGCATGTGTTTGGTGTAGAGTCGATGAACAAGGATTCAGTAATCAACCTCTCTCTCCACCAATTCATTCTAATAGATACTTAAACTTTAATTCATCTCATCCGTTGACTGTTAAGGCAGGCTTAGTTAAGTGTTTAACAAACCGAGCAATAGCACTAAGTAGCACAAGAAAAGACCTAAATGATGAACTAAAACAGATAGAAGATGCTTTGGTGTTAAATAACTATCCTTTAAAATTCATTAGGAAGAGCAGAAAAGGCCAAACGAAAAATACGAATAATTGTGAAACTACTAATAATAACATAAATAAGAGAGAATATAAGTCATCTACAGTTATACCATATAAAGAGGGGGACATCTGAAACCCTACGTAGGATTCTAAATAAAGCAGGAATTATGGTGGCATTCAAACCTACAAACTCACTCAGGGACAAGCTCTGTAGGTTAAAGGACCCAATTAGACAAAATAATATAATTTATAAAATACGTTGCAGTGATTGTGAGGTCAATTACACAGGTTAAGCTAGTAGATCGGGGGTAGTCAGATTGTCGGAACATAAGAATTTAGCTAAGGTAAGAATGGTTGACCCTGAAAAGATAAGTAATTTAGAAAAGAGCTCAGCATTAACACACAACCACACAATAGCATGGTGGGAGAGGGTTGACATCCTAAAAAGTAATATAGGTAGGTGGAGAGAGAGGTTGATTACTGAATCCTTGTTCATCGACTCTACACCAAACACATGCAATAAGAATGATTCATCACTCATACCTGAAATATGGAAAATACTACTGCCAATCAAATCAAGTGAAAAATAATGGAGCTATATAAATCAAGTTAGGAAGTCGTGTGAGTACCTTGATATGATTATGAGAAATAAATTGTGCTCGAAACGTCATCAGTAAACATTACTGTATAACACTGTGAGACTTCATCAAAACAAAAACTTACCCATAATGGAATTATACTCTACCACAGTGCACAAGTTTTATTCTTATATAAATGCCGCCCATGCTTAGCTTCCCGGAAAAACTACTCTACATGAACCTTAAATTCAATGGAGATATATCTGCGGAAACACTAAAAAATCGACTGTCGTGCTCACTTAAGACCTTCGCAGCTGAACTACGACTAATCGTCTCCACAAAACTTATGATTCATGTGAACGTGAAGGATAAGCTACCACTGCTAGCCTCATCAATGTGTATTTATCAATTCAACTGCTCGTGTGGAGCTAGGTATGTCGGCCGTACATAGCGTTCGCTTTCCAAACGTATCACAGAACACTTACTAGCATGGTTTTACAAGGGAGAAAATCGATGCCCCTGCAGCTCCATCTTAGAACATCTGTTAGATTCCGGACACCAAACTACACCCCAAACAAACTTCAAAGTCGTCTACAGAATACGAAGCAGTCTTCCTAAAGGTGTACTAATCAGACTTCTTGAAACTGCAGAAGCAATGGTAATTTACTTGTCCTGAACTCTGCATACAGAAGAAGTTCGTTCAATCATTACATTTGCAATGGACGTAATCTGTCTTAATACGCGACAGGTGAATTCTATTTCTTTCTGTCTCTTAGTATTATTTTGTCTTTTCAATTGTAATATTTTACATTTTCAAACTTCATGTTCTCTACCTCCACCGGGTTTAATTTCTACACCTCATTACCACTGTTATTGACTTGACCAACGCTCAATTTCTGGTCATTTATGTTATGTCATCCAACTTATTGGCTCAATTTCAGTTCTAATTTAAATGGCGTTATTCTCTACCCCACTTCTACTTAGTCTCTACCTGTAATTACACCTGTTGCTATCCTGACCTACGTTGAAACATTTTAGCCAATTATATTACGCCATCTGACTTATTAACTCATTCTTACTTTAGTTGCTGTCTTATTAACCTTTTTTCTATATTAGATCATTCTTGTATTACCTGATTAATTATCTAAACTTGACAAACCTCATGTGAACACACACACACACAATAATTATATATAATTGCGATCGCACAGCTATGTGAAGGAAGTCGCCGTCGAAAAGAGTCTCTTCACTGAACGTCTTCTCCTTTTCATATGACTAATTATATCACAGAAACTTGAGGATCTACATGCGAAAACCAAAAAGTCAGCAGAAGTTGGGGAGAAGGCACCTATGACAAGACTTCAACTGTGAATAAAGAGAAGAAATAGGTGGTGGTGAAGATACTGAACTAACAACAACAGCAACAGGTAGTAATCACCCCATAAAACGGGATAAGCCCCCCCTCCCCCCCCGCCCCTAAAAAAGTCACTTCTTCCACTTATATCTAGGCAGTATCGTTTCAACTCTACAGGCGTGCGACAGATGAAGATGTTAAAAAGTCACAATCAGAAAGGCAAGACACGCTTTTATTAATCTGAAGTCATTGTGGAAATCTACTGCACTCAGCGTCACCAACATGATCTTTATCTTCAACACAAATGTCATATTAGTACTTCTATATGATTCAGAAACTTTAATACACTCACTGAAACCATTTACAACAGGCTACTGCAGACTTGTATCAATAGCTGCCTTCACTCTCTACTGGAGATGAGATGTCTAGGCAGGAAGGAGGCATAAGCAATAAAGAATTCTGGCAAAAAAAACGATCAAAAGCCTATTGCTGAATAAATATACGAAAGAAAATAGAGATGGATAAGAGGATACACACAGAGAAGACTGTTGAGTAACGTCACGCGTTGAGTGACTGTTGAGTGAAACTTGAATAAGAGATGCGACAAGTTGGACTTTAGTCTGAGGGTGTGATGGAGGAGATTGTGTAAGCAAAAGATGAAAACTTATCGGCGACCTTGAAGCCAGGTAATAAGGACTATAGGGAACAGGATGAAATGGAGATGTCCTGTTGATGTCTTTCGTTCTACTCAGAACCATCTAAGGGAATAATTCCCCTTGTCCTTGTGACGGCCATCGTAAACAAGTAATTCTTTTAGTAATGACCATCCCGTTGCCTTTTTTATCCACACTTCCTGTGTATTCATGTTATTTTTAAGTTTTTCATAATCCCCCTATTTACACTTCCATATTTCCATATCCGAATGTCCTGTCTATTTTTTCATTTTATTATTTCTACATATTTAATTCCTGATTGCATAAACAATTATTCATCACATTAGTTATGATCCCACCAGATATTTTTTTTATCCAAATATCCTGTCTACTTTTGTTATTTCTACATTTCTAACCCCCAATTGCACAATCAATGCCAGTCTTCTCAGTAATTATGATGCTACTTTGTTTGAATTTTTATCCGTCCCCCTACCTGTTTATTATGGCATTTTAATTCCTAATTGTAATTTTTTATTAATTTAACCCCTGATGGGAAATTATTCTGGAACTTTCCCACCCATTTATCATAAATAAATACACAAATGTACAGCTATCTAGTTGATGACTTCGTCGAAAAGAAAATTTCCCTCTTCGCTCCAACCGTCTTTTTAATAAATCCTATGAACCAATGTGTGCATATTATTCCGTGAAGGGAATAATAATTAAAATAATACAATAAGGACGAGTCGTTGATTCCTGGTCATTGTCTTTCAGATCAATGTGAGTGGATAGATAGGCGATTGTCACTGGTGGTTGAAGGTCAAGTGTGCTGGCCGTTTCAATGAACTAATTCTCCATAAAGCATCCAATGGGAAGTTTCTTATTTACAACACTAAACATATATATATATATATATATATATATATATATATATAAGACAGACAAATAATTAACTTTTGTTTAAGTCAATATACACGTCTTGTTTAATATTCTTTCACTCACCCACCCCTCTGCTTCTTTTTTTTCTCTCTCTCTCTCTTTTACTTCATAGATGGGGGAATTATTTAAATGTACCACCATTTTGGTTATGTTATGTAGCTCCAGAGATTATCCATGCTTTAAATATTGGTTATGTATTAGCGACGACTACAAATGAATTACCATTGACTACATATTCAGATGTATTTGCTTTTGGGTAAGTTTATTTAGCAAATGAAGTGATGCAGGGAGGAGTTGGTGAAGACGCATGCATTTTGTCGATTTGTATGTATAGTTCGATTCTTGTTTCTTTTTCAATTTACTTTGATAAGCATAGATTATTACGTTGATGTCAACTCATGATAAAATCCTTCATACAATCAAACCAAATCCCTACAAAACAAATACTTGAAAATGAATCGGATGCTCACTAGCGACTGGCCCTATTCAGGCAGTTAATCTGGGTTTTCTAGTGGGAAGCCGTGACCAGTAGGGTAAGCAGGTCGAAAAAGATGAGGCAGTAACTCATCGAAGAAGACATTGCGAAGTGGTCGCGCTGTGTCGTGAATTGGCAAAAATTAGAATTCAAGAACCAATTGGATTGGGTCCCAGTGGCTCAATAGTCTACGAGGTCGCTTGCCTTGTAACCAGAAAGTCCTGGGTTCGAACCTCGGTAGGTGCGTACTGATGAAGAGTCCCAAACAAGGCTGACGAAACAGCTGTCCAGTACTCTCAGTTGGTTTTCCAGTGGTTCTCTAACTGATGTCAGCTCATGATAAAATCCTGCATACAGTATTACATTGAATCAAATTTTTATAATAAACTTGGCGCTTGGAATTTACACATTTTGAAGAGGTGAAAGTTCACCACCACCATCACCACTGTCGCCGCCACCATAGTTTTCTTTAGGAACCGAAATTTTAATTATTCGTTTTTGATACGATGATTAACACTCAAGAAAAACTGTATACCATTGATCGATTGATATGACTAATTATACACCACTCGCATACAAATAATAAGAAACTGTCGTGAAATTACACCTTGAAATGTTCGTCCAGTTTGGTGGTGGTTGGGTGGAGGGGGAGAGTTGAACTGACTGATTCGGCTCTCTGACCTGTGTAAAACCAGGTACACCGCTGATGAATTAGACCCCACACCAGCGCAATGTCTGATGGGTGTTTATATCTTTTTTTAAAATTTCCTTTACGTTCCCAGTGGAACATAGGGCTTCAAGCTAGAGGCTTGAAGTTTCAGTAGCAGTGGTGATTACTTTACAGGATGGGCTTACTAGCCTCACGCCCAACCTTCCCTCTTTACCAGACTTACTACTGGTTTACAGAGGTAAAGGAGTGCGTCGGTGGCTGGGGATCGAAGCCCGGACGACGTGAAGCGTAGCCGGCGAGCAGTCTGCTTCTGTGCCACCGACCCTACGTCATCGATAATCTGGCTAGCTGGCTAATAAGCACTACTGGTTGGTGTGAATTGTGGTGTTCTAACAACTACTTATGTCAAATCAATCGATATAACTAGTAGTATATAGCGTCATGAATATTATGTTATTCTAGTTATGCTCAATTGAATTAAAAGTTCTTCAATGTGTAAAAATGTTTTGCGCGAAAGCACAACGCTTCACGTTTCCGCAACTCATGATAACACAATGACATACCCACATATACATAAATCTAGGGATAAGAAAGAGTTATGCGACATCACAATAAACGGTAGGAAGAATAATCACTTAAGGAATTAGTGAGACCGTAAGAGATGCAATCAACTAGTTAGCATAATAAAGTTTTTTTAAGGTGAAAAATGTTTTTCTTCTTTTCCTATGCATAGAGTAGTAAAGATTAAGAAGTCCTTTTTTGTTGCTGTAGTAATATTAATCAAAAGTACTTGTGATTCAGTGAATCTTCGTGTTGATTCACTTTCAAATTGAAACAAAAACAACCAACACACAAATCCATCTGCATAACTTAATTGTTCTTTTTTTTCGGGTGGACGGGGGAAGTACAGTATTCTCCAGGGTTTAAATAACTGATGTGATGCATACGTTCATATTTACGATTGTGACAAATGGAAAGAGATGTCTTCAGATGCTTTGATCTCATGTTCATTGTATTTTTGTGTGTGTACCGCAGGGCAATTCACTCTGTCATTTATGGCTGTGAGACTTGGCCATTGCAAATAGAAAATATGATAAGGTTAGCTGTTTTGGCCCACAAATAGTTGGGTTGTACCTTGCGTGGTAAGTGGTTTGACATAAAGTACGTCATAGTGAGGTCAGTTGGTAGAGTATTAGATAAGAAGGAAAAGTCAATCGATCAAGTTGTGAAGCTACACTGATTGAATTGGCTAAGACATGTTTTGTACATGCCGAGCCATTGTCTTCCTCGATGAGCAATGTTATTAGGCGTGTAGAATTACGATGGAAAAGACCTAGTGGTGGTCAAACTAAAACATGGCATCTGTCTATGTGAAGTCTTTGACAGTTGGTTTGAATCACGTAGGGAGGTGTAGACTACCTGGTTGGTGTAGTCGAGATGTTAAGAATCAATGGTGCATGATGCCTTAACTCTCTCTCACATCTCTGCTTATTGAGGTCCTTTTCAATTCGTTTCTCTCTTTTGTCTTCCTTTGTTTATTACAAGAAGTATGGCAAGTTGCATCTCCCTATTTATAGACAAAGTTCTATGTTGAAACTGAATCAGTCAGCCAGTCACTCATGGTCGTAATGACGAATACACGATAGGCACTACAGGTGAATATTGAAAAGGACTATTCTCCCTCATTACTATATGTTTCACTGGGTCAAGGAAATATCCGAAGACAAATATCAGTGACTAGATACGACTTTTTGATTGAATTCAAGCTAAATTACACTAGTTGGCATCAGCTAGAAAGCCACTGAGAACCAACCAGGAGTACTGAAAGATAACTGTTCCATCCTGATATGGGACTTCTCAGAAGTACACATAACCAGGATCCCACCGGGGTTCGAACCCTAGGACCTTCAACTCGTTGACTATTCGACCACTTGGGCTGTAACCCAATAACCAGCCCGTGAATTCTAACTTCTGTCAAAAAACGAAATTAGTCTACGTTAATGGTAAAATAAGTTATACTGATTGTTTGGCTGAAGACTGTGCGATAAAATTATTATATGGAAATAATAACAAGTCTACATTCTTTGATTGGATACTAGGTGGTAACTCATATCATGCGTCTAGGTGTAGACGTTTATTTGGTGCAGACTGAATTCTACCAGTCATGTTTGCAGTGTTGACTAGATGAGCATGATAGCAGTTACTGCCTAGTGTCTAATCAATATACTCATTGCAGTCCCTACAGGAGATCAATTGCGAGGTTAAATAGCTCAGTGGTGGGGGTAACGTCTCTGAATGTACCAATGGATGACGCGAATTCGAATCTCAAAGGAGACATAAGTTCCTACAAGACTGCAGATACATCTTACTGATGATTGCCAACAGGCTTAAGGCTCTCTACCAATTTACTCCAACCGTGTAGCGAATCTGCGTTGGTGGCATAGCGGTAGAATGCTCACCAACCACGCTTCACGTGGTCCGGGGTTCGATTCCAGGCCAACGCACTCCTTAACCTCGCTAAGTGTTACCGGTGTTATTATTACCGGCTCAGCGAGGCTTAAGAGTGCCTCGGCCGGAACATGTGGATAGTTGGCGAGCGTTTTACCGTTGAAACCACCGATGCACAATTTCTTTATATTTTGTTGCCACATTATTGTTGTATGGCGCATCTTCTAGGTGTCTATATTGTATTCAAGTATTGGTTTGTAGGGATTTGATTGTTTGGTTACAGGATTTCATCATGAGCTGACATCGGTTAGAGAACCATTAAAAAACTCGGGAGTACTGAACAGCCAGCTGTTTCGTCAGACTAGTTTGGGACTCTTGATCAGTACACACCCACACTGCAGGGTTCGAACGCGAGACCTCCTGGGTACAAGATGACCTAGTAGACCATTAAGCCACTGGGACCCGACCCAATGGCTAGCCGGTCTATGAATTCCAACTTCTGCCAATTCATGATATGGCGCGACCATTTACCAATGTCATCGCTGGCGAGTATTTGTCCTCACATATATATTGTGCCAGGTTTTGTGTTTGTAAATAAATAATTTTATCATCCCACTTTTATGATATTTATTTTTGTTCCCCTCATTTGTTTTATTCTTCTACTTTATAGTACTGTATGGTATGAATTATTGACTAATGAATATCCTTTCAAAGGATTACCTGCAGAAGCCGTCACCTATCTTGTAGGACATGGAGTAAAACAGAATTTACGTATTCAATGCCCTAAAGATTTTAAGGTAAATGCATCATTCTTTGTTTGTTTCTGCTTAGTCACTAGTTTTTTTCCTTTTGTGTCAGTAGGATGATGTAATCACTAGACGGAATTAATGTTAGTGAAACTAAGCATTATGGTTATAATTCCTTTTCGGGTTCCGAGTGGAACATAGAGCTTCAGCATCACATCTCGATTCCACTCTATACTCTTCAGTCTTTTCAAGCTAACTTTACGATTCAATTGAAATTTAGATTTTTCAGTCGATTGATTGGACCGAAGTGCTCCGTCTCAGGTTGACATGTCGGCTTCTTGTACAGATGAGTCGATGATGTCTGGGCATTTAATTAGAATTTAATTGTCGGATGGCGACTAGCAGTAGGCACTGGGTTCGAGCCTCGGTGGGAACATCATCACTCACTGACTGGGGGAATGCAGGTACATCCACTAGCTGACGAGTCCCAAATACGACGAAACGGGCGTTGTCCTGGATTCCTCTGCTAGTCATCATCCACCAATTAAATTCCGACTTTACCTTAAGCTTCTTTAAGATCCTGAGTGGAAGATAACGCTTCAGCAGTACAGATCCATTTCACCGACATACTTTTAGCTTTGCTCTATGTTTATCCACAATCTTTTATCTCCTCTGTGTGACACTCAAACCAACGCCTAACTCATCATTTCCTATTTGGGTTTCTCTTTAAGGCCTGGAGTTTGATGACACTTAGTGGTCTCCTCAGCTTGAGTCCAATCCATCCATCTTCTCTTCTCCTTTCTCATATTTGTTAGGCGATATGTTCTTGGTTATTTCGTTCGCAGAGTTCCATGTTGTTTATGCCTTTTTTCTGTGTGGCAATTTAATCCTCAGTATGCAGCCAGTGAAGGTAGTTATTAAACAATAGCTGAAGTAACCTGTTGAAAATGCTTTCCAGGATGACCGAGTTATATCTCGGAACCATATAGAAGCCAGCCACTGACTAACTAATTTCAGATTAATGTAGGTCCGTCTTGCCTCTTCAATCCTGGTCAGCTGTGACATTTTTCATCCGTGACTTATGCACATGAGACAGTGCTTCCTAGATAAGTGAAAGGGGTGACTTCCTCTAGATCTCTCCCGTTGACAATGATTTCTGCTTGCTGTCGTTGTTGTTGTTGATTATAGTATCTTCATCACCTCTGTCTTGGCCACATGTCTTTTCTGGTTACTTGCTAGTTTTTCTCTTTAGATTTTGGAGTTTGTGAGGCTCTTACCTGACTGTATGAGTTCAAGTAGAGTGCCTTGATCAGTACGATGTATTTTCTCAGCAATTTCCTTCATGTCCAAACATTGCCATAGTATCTCTCGGTCGACGGAATCGAATGTTTCAATCAGGTCAAGAAATATGACAATTGTTGGACACCTTTGATGTCTCTGAATGTGGTTACAGTCTCCAAACTGGATATGAGTCAAGTGTGTGAATGCCACTTCGTTTATTTTAGTATGGACAAGATTTAACTGTGGCTTATAATCTGGCACACGAAGAATCTATTCCCAGGTACTGCGATCTAACAATCTTTGTGAAGACTGCCTGATATCGTCTGTATTTGAAAACAAAATAACCTGAATGTAATATACAAATCATGGTCTGCCTATCTTTCTCTGTCTGTCTGGATTCAACATGGAACTTGGTACCGAAGTGCACCAGTTCGAGTTGCCACGTTCCAAATAGCACACAAAGGTAGACAAGAAGATGAGTGAAGAGAATCAATAGAGTTTGACAAGTATAAGAGTGGAACAGATTGGTTTAATGGTAGAAAGGAGGAATATGAAAGATTACAGAGACTGAATACATCTGGACCATTGACAACGATTTTGAGTCATGTCACCTATTGTCCCCAGCCATTGATTCCTGGAGTCCTGAGGGGCCCAACCCAGAAGTCGGCATCTCCCTATCTGACTCAGTTTAACTGTCAAGGATTTCATGGATTGATTCCATGTTTTTGTTTGGCCACCACTTACCCTTTTCCAACCTGCACCACCTATATCAGCTAGTAATGCGCGTCGGGGGGGCGATGGTCAGGCGTGCGCAGCACGTGACCTAGTCATCTCAATCTATGTAACTTTATAGCCTCGTCTGCCATGATGAAGCTTACTTTTTTATTTTATTTCTTCTCTCTCTCCCTCTGTTTACTTCTAGGAAATTCTTGTCCAATGCTGGGCATACAATCCATCTAGACGACCAGAGTTTACAACTTTAGTGAAGCTGTTAGATCGTCTACCGAAACTGCATCGTAGTCCATCTTATCCAGCTAAACCGTATACTGGTGTAGCCTCAGGTTCACATGGTAGCCTTCTTGCTTAAAAAATGGGGGAAAAAACAAACAACCCATACACATTCTAGGCTTTCTTTTACACTTTTCTTTTCTCTCCTATCAACATTTATTCTCTCTCTCTCTCCCTCTTGTGTTTGAACCAAGAGGAATATTAGTTGAAACACCGATACACACACACAACTGCGTTCTGATACTCCATGATGAAAAGAAATAAATTACTGGATGGATAGCAGCAATACAACAACAGATTGATGAAAAGGCTTCTTCGAGGATTATTTCATTACTCAATAGTAGCTTCATCTCACCATGTATATTTACACACACACACATACCTACTCACGGACAAACATGGAAGCATTTGGAAAATACTTCTTTTATAATCAGGTGATAAGCCTTCTACCTGCCTACTCGCACACCCACACATAAACACACACACACACATACTCGGATGAAAACAAATTTAATACATGTCTTTGATATGCTTTACTGTGAATGATTTTACTTCTGGTGATGTAATGTGAATTGACTTTTTGTCGCAATTATCGGCTATTTTCTATGCACACATACACACCACGAGTATGTGTATGTACAAAAGAGAGAGAGAGATAGACAATGGTAGATAAACCAGTCAGTATTTATGTTGTTGTTTTTTTGCCTTTCTACTACAAAGTAGTATAAAAATCAATAAATCAATGGATTGTGATCATCACCATAATCGAATGGAAAGAAAGATATATACAAGATTGTGGGGGTGGGGTGGGGGAGAATAAATGAGATAATGATACCGTCAGTCATCCAAAAAAGAAGTTGATTTCAATTTTTAGCAGAGTAAACAAACTTTTTTTCTCTCAACATAATCATGTGTAAAGTGTTTGTTGTGTGTGTGTGTGTGTGTGTGCGAGTGAGTACTTCTGTGTATTTTTAGGGTTTCTTTAATGTCTATCATTACGCTGACGAATAATAAGAATCTGAACAATGACTATTCAATATATATATATATATATGCACCATAATCCGATGGGAAGGTGCAGTGGTTGGTGGTTGTGCGCGCGCTCGCATACACTCTATAGCATATCGTACAATATAAAAATGATAAACAATTAAGTTTTAATCGACGAAAAAAGAAAACACACTTGTACACATCTGAATCTTTCTTTTTTTATTCTTTTAAACAACACAATAACGACGAAGATGTTGATAATGGTGATGAAATGAACATTTCCTCTAATTTTTCCGTTGATATTCCATCCCCTCTCGGTCGACTTCTTTTTTTCTCCGTTTCCCTTTGTCTCATATCTTTTGTACACCTTGATCAGTATGTATGTATGGTGTATGTATACAGAGTTTAACTGACTTCCTTATTCGTGATATTACTATTATTACTCCTCCTAATTGTGATGTGAAAACAGCAATGATAATAATGATTTGAATGACAGATACTGTCCAAATCAATAATTTGTTTTGTTGTCTTTTTTGTATAATATTTTACTATTTTATTTCTTCTATATTTGTCTTAATAGAATATGAGAGCTGCCAAAAAAAATAAAACTGTAAATTATTCAATTATATGCACACAAACACATACTCTTCTCTTTTTTTTTGTTTAATCGCTGCGTTGTTTTAAATCCTAGTCTTAATTCTCTCCCATTAGATTGGTTGGAGAATTTCATCATCATAAGCTGACATCAGTTAGGGGAACCACTGGAAAACCCAGGCAACACTGTGATTCATGGGCAATACGCGCACACACTGCGGGGTTTGAACCCAGGACCTTCTGGTCGCGTAGACCATTAAGCCCCCGGGACCCAATCCAATGGCCAGCCCATGAATTCTAGCTTGTGCCAATCCATGACATAGAGCCGGCCATTTCGCAATGTCTTCTTTGATGAGTTACTGCCTCACCTTCAACCTGTTGTAGCCTACTGTTCACGGTTTCCCACTAGAAATCCCGATGGGTGTATACCGTTGGAGAGTCGCAAAGTAGGCCGAAACAGCTAGCTGTCCAGTACTCCCAGCTGGTTTTCCATTGGTTCTCTTACCGATCTCAGGTCATGATGAAATCCTGTAACCAGTCAATTTCCTGCAAACCAACACAGAAAAAAATAATAATAATGATAATTAATTAGAGGCTTCAATGGATCTGATGTAAGTGTAGAATTTTTTGAGCAGTATGGTAGAATTATAACTCCATATCATATATCTGATAAAATCCTTATAATACTGCTATATGATGCTAAAAGAAAGAACATCAGAAGCCCAGTGTTCTAGGTTTCGTAATGAAGATGGTGTATGGGTGGCGTTTGAACCAGCCAACCAACTGACCAACTCTCATTCAAAGAAAGACTTTGATGCCTTAAGAGCCCGATAGATTTGATTAAGAAAAATAATATAGCTCACCAAGTATTGTGTAATGACTGTTTCGTCAATTTATATAGGTTAAATTGAGTAGATAGAGGTCAGTTATATTATCGGAATTAAGTAATCTGGAAAACAGCTCGACAGCTATTGTAATGCATTCACTTGTATGTTATCACAATATCGTGGGATAGGATAATAAGATTGTTTTAAAGAAAGTAATATAGTTAGGTGGGGTGGGTGTGGGGAAGCTTAAACACAAAATCTTATTTCATTGAATCAACAACAAATACGTGTAGTCGAAACGATGCAACAGTTATCCTGGACATATGAAACACCGCAACAAAAAGTTATCAAATCTTGTGATTACAATAATTCAGTGACGATGAGCAGTAATAATAATAAATTGTGTGTGAAACGTTAATCAGTTATCAGTACCGGTATCACTCACTGTATGTTATATAAAATAAAATTTTATAATATGGAATTTAATCGATCTGGTAGAACACACACACGCAGAGTGATTGAGTAAGCGTTATTGAGAATGATGATTGTAAGCTAGTTTGCCGACAGTCTATTTATCTGGCTATTAGTTCTTTATCTATAGCTCCTTATGCAGTTCAAACTGACAACTCGAAACATCATGGATTGATAACATGCTTTGAACTGGATCGTAATATCACCTAACATTGTTTGGCGAGGAAGAGGCGACAGCTTAAGATATATAATAATAACTGACACATGTATTTCATGCGTCGTGGTGTAACGGTTTAGTTACGTAACAGAGAAGTCATATCAATATACTACAGGTTATTTATGCGTGAATATTTAAAATGGAATCTTGTCATGTAGTGTAGGTCGAATTAGAGGGCATTCATCAGCTAGCTTTCATTATCCTCTAAAGGTATGACGTACAGTATGTATGGCTGTATATTTAACAGTACACATTTTTTTACTGCATTTATATGGAATATGTGAGAAGGCCAGCTGACTTTGACGACAGGTGTCTGTAGAGTATCTATCACATTAAGTGGTAAACTACAGTGAGCAATATTAAAGTTAGGTGTATCACGTTAATCGATGAGGTTGTTGATCGTGAGAAGATTAAGATGGTTAGGACACATGTTACACGATCCGATACATCGCCTTCCTCGATGGACACTGTTAGCTGATGTAAAATTAGGCCAGAACAGAGTTAGGAATGATCAAATTAAAAACTTGGCATTGGTCTATGAAGTCTTTTAAAGTTACAGGATTTATTTCATCATGAGCTGCCATCGGTTAAAGAACCATAAGAAAAACTTAGGTCACTACTGGACAGCTGTTTTGTCCTAGTTTTGGACCCTTCATTAGGACAAAGTTCAGCAATAGCATCCATCCCAAGGGATGCGAACGCACTACTGACCGTCAGTCGTTCAATCATAAAATTAAGTGATTTTTGCACAACAAAGTGACGTATATTTACAAGAAAATGTATGAAAGCACATTAAACATGGTATCTTTTTCTGACATGGCTTAAATATACGTCCCAGTTATAATGAGGAGTATCAATTGGTAAGTACGACTAGTTTCTGTACATGTATTCCCCGAGGTGGCTAAAGATGAGCTGGTTTTGATGAATTATCTCTCTTATCCTGTTGTGCAGTTTTCCCTAAAAGCTCTCGGTTGAATTACTATGGTTTCCAGTAAGAGGATCGACGACTGTTTGTCAGGAAAATGTGGATAAAAAAAACAAATTAAAATAAATGACATCAACTCTAAATCTACTCCTAATCGCATCCGTAACCTTAATCCTGACCCTAAACTTAACACTAACCCTATTTACAATCCGTGTCCTTACCGTAAACTTAACCCTAAGGCTAATTATGACCCTGATCCTAACCCTGACGAGCTACTAACAACACATTGTTCAAACATTACTTAAAAACGTGATCTGAATGAAATTTGCTGTTTATTTGGTGAATAGCGTTGGTATTTCAGCTATCAGCAACTACCATGCGTCAAGGTTATTATTACTATTGTTCCCTTGGGTTCCTAGTGGAACATAGGGCTTCAACTGCACGTCTCCACTAGCTTCTGTCTTCCTTCTGCTGTACTTTTCACCTGCATCCATGTTCGTCCATACTGTTTCAACTCCTCTTCGTACAATCTCCTCCATATCACCCTTGCACTGACGTCCCGCTCACCGCTTCCCTTTCGGCCTGGTTCCACTCAACCAATGGCCTGACGCGCGCGCGATGTCACCCAGTGGCGGCCTCCTCAGCGAGTTTCCAATCCATCTCCACTTTCTCCTGCATATTTGTTAGTAGGCGGTTGGTTCTCCTTTTGTTTGTTCCTAGCCATAGTTTCTTGTTGGTGATTCTTTCCGGCCCCCCGGCCATTTGATCTTCAGTATAGAGCCAGCGAAGACAGTTGTTGGTTGATAAAGGTGTGCAACAGGCTGTTGGTGGAAATATTCTTTGTGACCCGCCAAGTTTCTTATCCGTATAGAAGAACTGACTGGCTTGACGTTTGTATTGAAAATCCGACTGAATTTTGTTGTTGATGCTGAGTTGAGTGACGAAGATTTCCAGATTGGTTTCAGGTTGATGAATGTGTTTCTCGCCTTCCCGATTCTCGCTCGATTTGACATCCTCGTCCGTTCCGAATGCCTGTAGTTGAGACAATGCTCCCTAGATAAGTGAATGAAGTAACCTCTTTCAAATCCCTCCCGTTGATGGTGATTGGCACCGGATGTTGCTGCTGATGTTGTTGGTTGGTTATTTTCATAACCTCCGTCTTGTCTGTGTTCACCTGGAGTCCTGTATTCGCTGGCTGCTTCTTCGATCAGTTTGTCGGTTTTCGCTTGTAAGTCTTCGATTTTGTGTGACATCACACATAAATCATCCAAGCGCGAAATCCAGGTCTTCTAGGTTCTTCACGTCGGTCCAGGATATCCCTATCTTCTAGTTTCCCACTGTCTGACGCATAATCCAGTCAGTCCACCACAATTAGGAATATCATTGGTGGTAATAAGCACCCTTGTCTTACTCCTGTGTTTACTCCAAGCGCCTCGCTGAGTTTTCCGTTGTGGATCACTTGATATGTTGCGTTGTCGTACAGCTGTTGAATAAGTTTGATGAATATTTAGGGTACGCCGTAGCACTCGAGTAGTTTCCAAATTACTTCACGGTCAACGCTGAGCGTTCGAATTCCTGGGACGCTATTGTTGAACTTTGCTTTCATCAGTACGCACCCAACATGGTTCCAATCCAGAACTTTTCGGTTGCAAGGCGAGCTCCTGTAGCCAATCAAATCACTGCAAACTAACACTTTTACAAGTTAGTTTGAGTCAACCACGAGGACAGGTAGAGACTGCCTGATAGGAGGTCTCGGGTTGCTAAGGGCTATTATATTGAAGATATGGCTGAACACCATGCTCAGTAGTGCAGATGGATTCACTCTTTGTAATCCTCATCATATTTCTGCTTATAATAATTTCTTGATTTGCTTTCGTCTACCCTTTTGTGCTACAAGGAGGGAGGGAGTATGGTAACTTGAAACTGGTGCAAATTTCTATTGTCTACTTTAATTCCTACAGGAACATAGGGCTTCAGCGGCATGTCTCCATTGCGTTCGGTTCTCCACCAAAGTTTTAACCTGGCTCCACATCTGCCCACGCCACCCCAAATAGATAGATATATATTATATCACAGTGAGTACAAATGTAGACTTGAAACCAAAATATAATATATTTATTCATTATTATTATTATTTATCTTGAATACAGAAAAGTTCAAAAATATACAAAAATCAATAAATCATAATAAGAAAAAAAAGTGTTGAAAAACAAGAGAATAATAATTAACCGGCACATACGCTATAATTAAAATTAATACAGAGTAAGTAGTAACATGGAAAGACAAAAGTACAACGGTGCAAATATATATATATATATATATTGCGGACAGACAGCACACTAATCCAGTGACCGTGTGCGTGTGTGCCTGTCTATCTCACGCTCTGTATATATATATATATATATATATATATATAATTTATTCAATCACTACAGTCAGTTCAATGATTTTATTAGTAGTAAGTACTATAAGCCTGTATATCGATCGATCCAAAACGTAAATAAATAACACAGGTACGCATATGTATGTGTGTGTATGTGTCTATCCTCGTCCGTAATTTCTACTGCCAAATTGATAACTCCTTCTCATAACTCCCTTGATCAGTGTAATACAGTCTGGAGAGATTTTCAATAGCTATACGACCGCATAGAATACAATCGTCAGCGATAATCTCATCGAATATATCCTGGAGGATGGGAAAAAGAAAATATAATAACCATAATCAAATGGAATTATTATTATCATTATTATCGTCTACACATACACATATATCTCATCTCAGTGACAATGGTAATAAAACAAAAATGCATCCAAGTACACGTTTATTACTATAAAAAATAGACAAACAAAAGCGACAGTAACTAATTACCAGGGTAGTTAGAATAATATACGCTAGCTGAAGTATTATGTCTAATCCAGGGTTCCACCACCTACGCAAAGACCTTGACGTAACCAATAAAAATTTAGAAGAGAAAGTTAATTCAAGCTTATAGCTTCTTTCTTTCTCTCCCTCCCCCTTTTAAAGGGGAGAAAAACGTTGTAAAGAAAAATCCCAAGGGTAAATGACAATAAATGAGGAGAATTACGCTTTTATATATGTTAGCATATACGTATTTAGGGCTTTGGGTGGGTGGGGTAATTTCTCACTAGGTTTTACGAGTACATAATAAAATTATTAAGCATAAACATTTGAAAGCAATAGAGTTAGTAGAACTGAAATCCAGGTATCATATGAATTGGTGGATAATAATGGAGATGATCAATAACAAATTTAGTCAAGTATTTATACAGTAATCTAGGTAATCAATCGTTGTAAATATTCATACACAATGTGTATACTCGTACGGGTAGTGGAGGGTGTGTGAGGAAATAACTATTGTCTCATTGCGATTAGATAACACAGTGTTAAGTATTGCAATAAACCATAGCACAGTATGGCATTGATAATGATGTGAAGATAATATTTACAGCTATCAGGTGTCACAGAGAAAAGAAACTATTCTAGTTTGGAGGTGAAGACTATAGAGGAAGAGGAGGCACTGAACAAACTTTATCTAAACACAAAGATTGGACTGAAAACTGCCTCGGCAAATGCTTAGCATTTGAGGGTGTATATTATTATTATTATTATTGTCTCCTTTCATTCCTAGAGGAACTTAGGGCTTCAGCCGCACGTCTCCATTGCGTTCGTTTCTCCGCCAAGGTTTTCACATGGCTCCACGTCTGTTACATTTATTGTGTAGTCGTTGATGATACTACCCAGCTGCAGCAGAATTTGAATGCACAACCTATTGGCTTGAGGTCGAGCTGAATCCATTAATTGTTTGGAGGTGTAGTTCATTGGTCTTAGCATTCTAATTTCAGTTAAGCGGGGGGGGGGAAGGGGCAGAGTGAAATCTCTCTTCATGCTTCCCCACCTCTATTTCAGTTTGGAAAAATGAGTGAGATCAGATAGATGCTATGGGTACATGAGAAATCCTGTTCAAGGTAACCAATCTCAAGCCAAGTAGAGAAAAGGAAAGCAAGTTTTTACATGGATGTGTTTTACAACTTTGCTTCCTTAGAATTCTAGTTATTATAACAATAACATTTGGGAGTAAGAGACTGACCATAGATACACCAAACAAATGATATAACACATGTTTTAAAAGTGTCATATATATATGTACAAAGTATAAAAAGGAAAACTTCTGGTTATTTAAGTGCGTCGGTGGCACAGTGGTTAGGACTCTCGCCAACCATTCACATGGTCCGAGGTTCGATCCCCTGCCGACGCACATCTGATATCTATGGTCGGCCTGCGAAATTCGGGCTACCGATATCCATGCTGAAAATTCCATACTTGTACCAAAAATACAGTGTGGAGTCAAGCTGTAATCAAAAAATAAAAATAAACAAATAAAAAACTGAAAAAACATCATGTACAAGTTTAACAGAATTACTACTTATAATGATAACAGCTCAGTAGTTATTAAACAAACCTCAAAACTAGTCACTGATGCAGTATTCCCAATATTTTCAGAATCAACAGCTTTAGATAATTTTAATTTTTGCTCTGCTGATAAATATGGCTTCACCTAGAAAAGAAGAGAAAAACAAAAAGGAAGGGTGTGTGTGATAAAGCTATTCATTAATAATGTGCCTTAGTGGTTTAAGCGGTGAATGTTCGCCAATCACTAATTTACCTGCTAGGTTCGATTCCCGATCGATAAACGCCTAAACCTCGCATAGTTTGCTAGGCTGGAAGAGAGAGAAGGATGGGCGTGAGGCTAACAACCCTACACCGTAAAAACAACACCACTGCTAATGGAACTTCGAAAAAAGTTTGAAGCCCGATGATCCGCTTGGGAGGCGGCTAATAAAGACCAACTCAACAACAAAGTAAGTGTAAAAATCTGAAGAGGTCGTTTCTGTAATTGTATCTCATATACTCTTAACTTTGCCTAGTTTTTGCCCATAACCTTAAATTAAGTATATTTCGCAATTATCGTGGGCTCTCTCATCGTGCCTTTTTCATTTTTTTCCCATTTTGTGAATACTGAACTCTTACTGGTTGGTAAATCTTTAAACTTGTCAGTATCACAGTCAAGTGTTTCCACTGTTAACGGTTCACATCTTATCTCTCAAGTGCCGGTGGTATTGTTTTTCTTTTCTTCGTTTGATGTTGCAATCAGCGATTACATTGATTCTCGTTAACACACTAGGTCTTAGTACATCACCATCAAGTTACAAGACGAACCCATTGACCTGAATCCGGTCCCAATTGTTGAGATCACGGATGCTCTATTGATAAAAAGTCTTGAAACAGCTGCCCAATAATCCCTGCTGGTCTTTGATGATTGTCGAACTATGCTCTCTTCATGATCTAACTTGAAATCAATAAAAAAAATCTCATGAAATTAGCGTTTAAAAATTATTTTATTTTTGATAATAAGACTATATAAGGGATATCTGGATGTCTTAACTCAGCTGAAAGAGGTTAATGGACTGAGTAACCCGCGGGTGGGGGAGGGGGAGGAGGGTGACTGGTTCACAATTTTACCAACAATAATTCATTTTCCTTCCTTTTTGCATTCTGAGCAGAACATTTTAAGCTTTGAAGTTTCACTGGCACTTGTGTTGCTTTTTACGAGGCGAAGAGTGTTGCTAGCCTAACACCCAGCCCTTATCTCTTTATCAGATTTGACTGACTGGTTTCAACGTAGAACTTTGCACCGATGTTTTTTTTCCTTCACGTTCCCCAGTGGAACATAGGGCTTCAAGCTAGTGGTTTGAAGTTTCTGTAGCAATGTTTACTTTTACAGGATGGGGTTGCTAGCCTCATGCCTAACCTTTCCTGTTTACCAGGATTATTTCTGGCTTAGCGAGGTAAAGGAGTGAATCGGCCGGGGATCGAACCCCGGACCATGTGCATGGTCGGCGAGCGTCCTAACCGCTATGCATCGATGTGCAACAGTCCAAGTCGCCACTCACCCTCCACATGTAGCACACAAAGTAGGAGAAGAGAGTAAAAAGAGATTCAAACAGAGATAGTTAACAAAGATATGAGGCAAAAAGAGTAGTAATATGGGATACTGTAGGTAACAAATAGTGGATGCATCTGTGCCTGCCATTGATAACGAGGATTTTGAGCTATATCACTAATTGTCTCCAACCATTGGTGTTTACCGTCCAGGGAACCTCAACTAGGAAGTCCACATCTTCCTACATGGCGCAAACTAGCTGTTGTGGATTTCATTGACTGATGAGGCCATGTTTTGCTCTGACCTGGCACCTTTCCAACCTGATCCTATGTCAGCTAACGTTACCCTTCCATCGGTCGAGGAAGGCGATGACTAGTCATGCGTGCATGCGTAATACATGTCCTCACCATCTCAGTCGATGTAATTTCACAGCGCCGTCTATTGATTTCCTATCCTTACCTAGCAATAACTCGATGAAAGCCTAACTTCAATATTGCTCACCCTACTATACCATTTGAAACGAGAGATAGAACGCAGGCACTTATGACCGAAGACAGCTGGTTAGCCTTTTCATGTCTTCCGCTCTCAATGGCCATGTCTCACGCACAGCCAGCCGTGAAGGAGGACGGAGCGGATTGCTGAGCAGTACACACGCACTTTGATCGTTAGCCAGCCGGTGCCAGAGACGGCGTAAACTGGCATATGTGAAACGAGCCTTCTGTATCCATACTGATATTTTGTCAGCGATCAACCCGTTGGGGCTGATGCAACTTCCCAAATAAGTGAAGTGGTTGACGCGCTCTACCACTTCACTCCCTATTTCTAAGGTAGGACTTTTCCGGACTTACGTTAGACTACGCTTGATTTAGCAATACTTCGAGGCTTAGAATCGAACCTCGGACTAAACGAGTGGTTGGGACACGTTACCTACAGTAATCAGTCATTACATTTAATCTAGTAACTATTTTGATCGAGATCGTTAGTTATTTCAATGACAAGAAGAAAATATATTTTCAATTTTAGCATTTCATATTGCAATTTGTATACAGCACTGGTGTAAATCACTGATGTTATCACCAGCCTATTGACCATTTTAGCGCATAGGATGAAATTCAATGAATCTTGCATGAATTCTAATTCCTGCCGTCGTTGAGATTTAGACTAATATCATTAGTGTTTTTTTTGTTGTTTTACCACATGTCTACATTTTCTCTAGTCATCAACGACCTATAAACGAACTACTGCACCCGAGGGTAGATAGAATGCTATCTACTGCGCGAAATTCTGTCATTTGGTAACATATTTATGGACTTTATCAGGTAAGTGTTATTCACTGCCTACAGACAGGGTAAGTGTTCATCAAAAAGACGAATGGGCACTTACAACCGGACTGATGGACATTCAGGTCAACCTAGGTAAGCTGGGAAACTTTGATTCCGAACCTATGCTTTACATGAACTCCAAATTCCGGGAGAATCGAATGGCATATGAATGTGTTTTGGACACCGAAAGCTATTCCACTCTACTGACTTGTCGATAAGATTTCAAGTCAAAGGGTGGTCTTCTTATCACAATCATCTATAGATATTATAGAGAAGATTTGTAGCTCAGGTGGATGATTTTGATGTGGTTGTGTTCTCTAAGCAGGATGGTTGATTTCCAAAGCTTTGATCGCCCTACTAGGTGACATCTTTAGCGCATACTTCAATTTCATGAAGTGAGCTTTTAGATTTCTCCACGAGTTAATTAATTATCTCTCGTGGTGACCTTGGACGCGTATTGGAACTGATTGTTTCTTTGACTTGAACTCTGATCCTTTGTGCGTGAGGTTCCTTTCTCATCGGTTGACAAATTTTGTCTATTTTTATGTGTCTATTGATTGATGATTCACTGGAATACCAAGCTTCTAAAAATTCTCCAACATTCTTGTTGTTTCCTCTGTCTAATATTTGAACGTTGGTTGTCCCAGTCGAATTGATGTCCGTGGTTGTCTGTATGCAGTGATATGAGGGAGTGGATATCATATCTTTTGCCGTCTAGCTTATGTTCGTGGATACGAAGATGAAGGGGACGTATAGCCTCAAGCCAACCTATCAAACCAAAAGCCCCCAAGAAAAGCACAAAGAAAATCGCCTTACCATATGTAAAGGATATCTCAGAAATCACTACAAGACTCTTCAAACCCTTAGGAATTGACGTCGTACACAAACCAACAAAGTCACTTCACTCAATTCTATGTCAACCAAAAGACTCAACAGAGAAAGAAGATGAAACTAACATCATCTACAAAATAAATTGTAACAACTGCGAAAAACACTACATTAGCCAAAGTGGACGTCCCCTTCGTCTTCGTATCCACGACATGATATCCACTCCCTCATATCACTGCATACAGACAACCACGGACATCAATTCGACTGGGACAACCAACGTTCAAATATTAGACAGAGGAAACAACAAGAATGTTGGAGAATTTTTAGAAGCTTGGCATTCCAGTGAATCATCAATCAATAGACACATCGAGATAAAAAAAATTTATCAACCGATAAGCAAGAAACCTCACACACACAAAGGGTCAAAGTCCAAGTCAAAGAAACTATCCGTTCCAATACAAGTAACCTAGAAGGTGTGAATACACACAAAAACAACCAGTCACGATGTTTAAGGTCACTACGAGAGATAATTAAAAAAACTCGTGGAGAAATCTAAAGGCTCACTCCATGAAATTGAAGTATGCTCTGAAGATGTCACCTAGTAAGGTGATGAAAGCTTCGCAAATCAAACATCCAGCTCAGAGAACACAACCACATCAAAAACAATCACCTGTCTATATTGGTCTGGACGCCCAGAAGGTATTCCAGTTCTCGCACAAACAATGCAATTTAGTATAGCGTATCACTTGGTGCCTATACTAAATCAAGTTTCTATTTTCATCTCAATTCGAGTTCATACATACATAAGGGAAAAAGGAATTCCACGATTATTTTTGTTTTACAAAGATATTAATCTACTTAGATTACTCAACAAGGAAATCCAAATACTCCAAGGGTATATAACTCAACCCCTCCTCTTACAGTTCATAAACTCTTGCATCCTACCTATTCTTCTTTATTGTTCACCCTTCCTTATTCTTTCCTGGTTTGCTTAAAAAAGACTATGTTACAATTCGTAGAATTTTGAAGACTGCCAGTAGGGTGAGTGGTGTCCCAGTGGACCACATAGTTAATATTGTTATCGATAGGCACTTGACTTCGTGCAATAAATTTGCTAAAGGGATTTTGTCTGACTTGGCGCATCCACTTTACCCTCAGCTTTCACCTTGCATCTCCTCAGGTAGAAGAAGAAGTAACTTCAGAAAAGTGTACGCTCGCAGGTCTAAGTATAGAAATTCTATGATACCATACTTGTCACGTATTTAATGTGATGAAAATAGTGTCAGGCAACAATTAACTAACCTTTTTTCATCTAGTAAATAAATAATTTCCTCCAACCATCCTTATATACCTTCAAGTTTTACTTTTATTATTTCTATTATATTTATGGTCCTGTTGCTTCTTTGTTTTACTTTCATAAATGCAAACACCAACTTATCTCTATGACTGCTGTAATCTTTGCTTTTCCCTCACCATATCATGTAAAGAGAAAATTATATTCAATTTTAGTTTTTAAACAAGCTAAGATTTCTATACCGCATTGACAATACTGTGTGAAACAAGCCCATGGCAATTTTCACTTGTATTATTATTATTATTATTACCTTAGCTGTTATCATTATTATTTCCATTTTATGTGCTGCATGTTTTTGACATTACCCAACCCTATTGTAAATGTGGAAAATTTTCTGTGTGATTAATTTTATTTATAATTTGAGGAAATTAGATGCAATATTGTGTGATTGATGCTGAAAATTCCATTCTGTATCACAAGTACGTTTTTTACAATAAAATAAATCATTATTATTATTATTAACTAAGTATCAAAGATAGGACTTCAAGCGAACATAGATAAAACAGAGGTGATGAAGATTCTTGGCCAACACCAACAGCAACAACAACAACAGACGACAGTCAGCATAAATGGGAGGAACCTGAAAGAAACAACCTTCTTCACCTACCGACGTGGGAAGCATCGTTTCAACTACAGGCGGAATTGACGAGGATATCAAAGCCAGAATCAGAAAAGCAAGACAGGCTTTCATTACTCTTAAGTCTGTGTGGAGGTCGACATCACTCAGCATCAAAATGAAAATAAGATCCGGATTTTCAACTCCAATGTGAAGTCAGTGCCACTCACTGTACAGATCAGAGACTTGGCGCTTCATAAAGAGCATCTCAGACAAACTTCAGACCTTCATCAATAGTTGTCTTCGCCCAATACTACTCAAGATCAGATGGCCGGCCAGAAAAGATCAGCAACAAAGATCTCTGGCAATGAGCGAACCAATCAGGAAGCGATTGTGAAACAAATAGGCAGGAAGAAATAGAGATGGATTGGCTGATCATACTCTGAGGAAACCATCAAGTGACATCACTAGACCAGCGACCGCTTGAGTGGAACCCGACAGGATGGGAAGCGGCGAGTTCATCGTCAGTGCAAGGGTGATTTGGAGGAGGTCATGTGAAGAGGAGATGAAAGCATGTGGGCAGACTTGGAGTGGGGTGAAAAAGTTGGCAGAAAACCGAAGGCAATGGAGACGCGCAGCTGAAGCCCTATGTTCCCCTAGGAATTAAAGGATATAATAATAATAATAATAATAATGATTTTCACATAATGAAACTAATTTTACGTTACTGGATTCCAATTTTTTTGTATTTATTCCAAACAACAACAACAACAGAAAAATCTATAGCCAGTATTTCGTTAGGATTTCTTTTTTTCGTGTCTGTCTGAGAAACTTTATTCTAAATTTCTTTTCTTCTCAATCTTAAAAAAGTTTTATTGTCTTAAAGAAAAAAAAAGAGGAATTATCCTCATTTATGGATAAAAGGTAGAATAAAACAGGGGAACACAGCAACAGCAACAGCAACAGCGAAAACAACAATAACAACACCTAGAATCATGAAAATTAGATGACTGGATAATAGTGATAATAATCAATGTTATAACTGTCTAGTTAGTTCTAGGGTGTCTGATCGATCGATTGATTGATAGCTTAATTGATTAAAGATGATGATGATGATGATACGCTCAACTGTAAATTTTTAAAGACTAATGATGACTAGAGAATAGAGAAGAATTCTCTTTTCGACAACTTCCTCCTTCATATAGGACTCTACTAGAGTGTTATATATTCACAACAATTTTTGTTTGTTCAATAGAGGGGAATCATTAAGATTCATAGATTGTACATGTGAAAAGCATCCGTGTATGTGTGATAATATGCATAAGAAAAATAAGAGACAATATAATGAACTTAGAGGAATCCACAGCACCTAAGGAGAGGTAACAATTTCCGACTGAACAATAAGCAGTAAATTAATGTCAACTATTTAATCCTTCGTAATGCTGGTGCAGATTAAAATCTGTTATCAGTCAATTTTGCAATGCAGGCATCATGATGCATTCTGAATTGTGAAGCGATCGACCTAGGTATCGTGTTTGTTGGTAACACTCCTCAGTGAGGCATATCTCTAATAGTGAAGGAAATCATATCTCTTGTGATATCCAAACCTGGGTCAGCTAGTACTGTAGTCAGAGACTTTACCGTTGAGCTGTTTGAACTTGCAACTGACCACCTCTCTGTAGGACTTGTGTCAACAGCTGTCTCTAATGAAGATCAAATGATGACAGGGAGATCTGAGAAGGATCCGACGAAGAACCTACTGCTAAACAAGTGGAAAATGGAGACGTATTAGACACCTGCTAATTATACCACCGAATAACATAGTGTGTCAGACTCTCGAGTGGGACCTAAACAGGGAAAAACGAGATAGGCTAAAGTTCGAGGGTGACATGGAGGAGATCGCACGAGGAGATGAGAGCTTACGGGTAATTGTAGTACCAGCTAAAGAGGAATTCATAAAACGGGATGAAATGGAGGTGTGCTTTTGAACTCTTCTATGTTCCACTCGAAGCCTACGGGAATAATAATAATAAAGAGCATAAATGTATGGGAAGAATAATAGCATGGAAAAATGAGAAGCTTTAACGGATCTTGAAGATTACACAAAAAATGAATGAGTCTGTGTCACTGAGAATAGTTCTCAGCCATGTCAACAACAGTCTTCAACCATTGGTATTAGCCTTCCTAGGCTGTGAAGCTACATCGGCTGAGATGGTTAGGACATGTGTTACGCATGCCTAGTCATCGCCTTCCTCGACGGGCGATGTTAGCTGACATTGGGTCAGGTTGGAAAATAGCTAGCAGCGGTCAAACCAAAACATGGAACCAGTCAATGAAATCTACAACAGTTAATTTAAGCCAGCCAGTCACGTAGGAAGGTGTAGACTGGCTTCCTGGTTGGGGTCCTAGGCGTTCTCAATGGCTGGTGCAGATGCATCCACTCCTTGTGATTTATAATTTCCAATGAAACTATATTGTTCTTCGATATAACTATACCTTTTGTCTCATATCGCTTTCTACTGTCTCTGTTATGCATTTCTTCTACTTTATCCTCTTGCTTTGTGTGCTAAATGGAGTGTGGCGAACTGAACTGCTGCAAATCGATGCAAATCAACAGACAGACAGAGTCTTCTTAGGGTTCCCTGAGTGGCTAGTTCAAACCAACATCCAAAGACTTCATGAACTGATGTCAGATTCTGATTTGACTATGCCTAAAATCTTTTCTAATCTAATCCTATATCACCAGTTAAGAATGCTCGACAAGGAAGACAATGACTCGCTATGTGCAACACGTATCCAAGCTTCAAGACCCTCATCGATTAAAAAAAGTGATACATTAAATATTATTTAACAACAACAAAACTGCCAAGAACAATAATAATAATAATAATAAACTTACCAATTCAGTGAGACAATTAATATGAAAATTATGTCCACATGGAAATAGATAAAATGCTCGAAGTATTAATAAATGATTACAATGCATACAACGTGAATCATTCTCTACAATTTGATACCTAGGAAACGATACAGTGAATATAAGAAGAAGAAAAAGACAGTATATATATTTATAGGTAACTGTGAGTAACAAAATCTAGGTAAGGTAATTTGAAGATAAAGAACTTTTTGAACTTCGTTAAGTCTTTGCAAAAATTACCATGACAACTTCCCTAACTGGTAATCGTAATTCCAAGTAGATTTATACGATAATATTCGAACATGTATTTCAAATATGTTGGTAGGAGATAAAGTATTTAAGAATTTAATGATAATAATTGTACATAAAATTATCACGGTATCTAATGCTATAGCAACATGGGCCAAGTAGTAGGCGTCGAACAATGCGGTGAAATCTGATTGGTTATTTATCTGACTAACGTATTCATTATAATCAATATTTGCATAATTTAAATTCTAACTAATAGACTATCAAGCTTTTGATGGTTCTCTAACTAATGTCAGCTTATGATGAAATCCTGTAAACCAATCAAATCCCTACAAACCAACACTTGAGTAATAATAGTCTTGTGTGTTGACAGACTATATGACTGATTAATGATTGAAGGTGGAACGGAAATTTTTGCAGACACAGGATTCGAACCAATGAGCTGCGCCTAATTACTAGTTTAAAAGGTTCCACCTCCAACACGTTTATTTCAGAAGATAACAGAGTAGTTGACAACGGAATGTTCATCTGCAATCTGATATACACATATAGGGAAATTATGCACACCTTACTCTGAAAAAATTGTCATTTGTACAGATCATTTCACCACAGTAATCATTACGGCGACTAAATGTTAGGCTGAAAATTATCGATTTTCTTAAAAGGAACATCATCAAATCAACATTCATATAAGTATAAAACTCCATTATGGATAAGATTTTATTTTGATATGATTTATCACACAGTGTTATACAGTAATACTAACTGATGACCACGTTTCGAGCACAAACTATTGCCACTCATAATCATATCAAGTCACTACTCACATAAATTTTTCCTGCATTTATATATATGTGTGGAATTGATTAGACATTTGAATATACATTAATATAAGATAGAGTACATTCAGAAGTAATAATATGAGTGTTATTGATCAATTACAATCAGATGGGAAATAAGATGAGTGTTTTTATAATCATAATAAGTTACTTGTTAGAATGTGGTGATGTACGTGAATTGACATAGAATTTTGAGATTATTTATTATCCTCCTCTGATTTGACTGACTAGTGGTAATAATATCTTCCATATTTCTGGTATTTGCATTGAGTCATTTCTGTTGCATGTGTTGTGTTGGGTGTAGACTCAATGAACCAAGCCGGATTCAGTAATCAATCTCTCTCTCTCTCCACCTACACAGATTACTTTTTAGAATCTCAACCCTCTCCCACCATCCTATTGTGTGGTTGTATGTTAATGCATGTGGTGCTATTGCTGAGTTTTTTTTTACACAATTACTTATCTTCGTGGGATCAATCATTCTTACCTGAGCCAAATTCTTATGTTCTGATAATCTCACTACACCCGATCTACTAGTTTGACCTATGTAGTTGGTCCAACTCACAGTCATGGCAGAGTATTTTGTAAATTTTATTATTTTGTTTAATTGGGTCCACCAGGTCTTTTAGCCTACAGAGCTTGTCCTTGCCTGAGTGAGTTTGTAGGTTTAAATGACACTCTAATTCCTACCTTATTGAGAATTCAACGTAGGGCCTCATATGTTCCCTCCTTATATGGTAAAACTGTAGACGCCTTATAGTCCCTTTTATTTATGTGATCATCATTAGTTTCGCCATTATTTTTATTCTGGTTTTGATCTCTTTTGATATTCTTAATGAATTTTATAGGATAGATATTCAAAAACAACGCCTCTTCTATCTGTTTTAGTTCATTTATATTCTTAGTGGAATACAAGGCAAGGCTTCAAGTTACCGTAGTCATGGCATTGTTTTAACTGACTTTGGGTGGCTAGCCACACACACACCTAACACCTCCCCTCTTTATCCATTATTATTTATTTATTTATTTAAACTCATAAAAACTTGGTACAATATGGCACCAAGAAGGATGCGCCACACAATAATAATAAAACAACATAGATCAAAAGAAAAAAAGAAAGCAGAGAAAAATATATATAAGTGGAGAACGGATAAAGAACTTCATCTGGAAGGAAAACAGTCGTGCTTAACAAGTTCAAACAGTATTCGTTAACTATCATCGAGGAAGGGAAGAAGGAAATTGCAACACGTGTAATATCACGCGATAAGTTTCATTGATTGTTTGTTGCTTCACATTCAATTCATTGTGTGAGAGGGCTGATATACTGTCCGGGCGCCCAGACCGAAGCAGGTACTTTTATTAAGGGACCACACACCCCCCGGACCTTTGACTTGGAGTCTAATCCGCAAGACAGCGGAGCAGCGTCAGTAGCTGCATTCCTATGGTTTCCGGTGACCCATATGGGTTCATACGCCATTTGATCCGATTGGATACTGGAGCCCATGTACCCCATGGTAACTGCTTTTAGTTTAACCGCTATCCAAACAACCTTCCTGACATGTTAGGACCTGCAGGGACAGAGTCCCAGTCAGTTTAGCATGTTGGGTCATTACGGTATTCAAGCCCGACCACCACGACAAGGTAGCAGTTATCAGCCGGGTCTCTCTTTATCTAGCTTACGACTGGAATAAACGAGGTTTAAGAGGAGTACATCGGCACCGAGAGTTGAACCTGGCAACTCTACATGTATGATTGGAAAGCAGTCTACCAGTGAACAAAAACTTTAAGAAAATTTGCTAATCATTGTGAAAATAAAACAAATATATTCTTATTATTATTATTATTTACTATTCAGAGCTATTCTGACTGCTTCTAAGTACACTTTAAAAAAATGTTTATTCTTGGTTGTTTGTTTTTGTAAAAAATGAAAAAATCACAGGTGTATGGAAAGAGAAGAAAGTCACCTGATTGATGACTTTTTTTTTCATTTGATGAAACTACTCTCTTCATTATAGAAAATAAAAGCTAAGCCCTATGTGTGTACGTGTGTGTGGTTGTTTTCGTGTGTTTATCTAAGCCATCCCTTTTAAGACTGTTTTTCATCAACGAAAAAGGTGGAAGTAAAATTCATTGAAACATTAACAATTTAAATATGCATCTTTCTAGGAGATAGTTACATAATTGCAAAAGGTTACACTGACAACAAAGGTTTAGTCGCTGTCATCTAATTTTCCCAGGAAAGAAAACGAGTTTTTATCACATTTGTGGTAGAAGGGTAGTAAGGCTAACAAAAAGTACAGGCAGAGGGGGGTAATTCTAACAGGTCTATTGTAAATCAGTTGATTGAGGATGATGAAAGGGTGTAAATCTCACCTTTTTTTAAACTTTAGTTGTTTGTTGTTGTTGTAAAGAACAGAACAAGAAGAAAATATTTTTTTGTTAAAACAAATTTTGATGTGTTACAGGATTTTATCATGAACTGACATTGATTAAAGAATTATTGAAAAACCAGCTGGGAGTACTGGACAGCTGTTTCATCAGCCTAGTTTGGGACTCTTCAGAAATGCGTGCTCACACTACGGGGTTCGAACGCAGGACCTTCTGGTTACAAGGCTAGCTAGCTCGTCGACCATTAAGCCGCCATTGGGACCCGATCCAACGGCTCATGAATTCTAACTTCTGGCAATTGATGTGTTGTGCAACCATGATACTTCAGTGTACTTTGATTGGATACTAGATGGTAACTACTAATACTATGCATCTAATCCTTCGTAGAGTTGGTGCAGGCTGAATTCTATCATTTGTTAAGTTTGTAATGTGGCCAACGCATGGTTATGTGGATAGCGCCATCACGGTACCACTTAGAATTGTGATTATTACATGGTTGTAGGCAATCGGTAGACCTGTGCTTAACCTATGTTTCACGCTTGTCAGTGTCACTCATCAGCAAGGCGTATCTGCAGCCTTGAAGGAATTCATATCTCTCCTGAGATTGGAATCTGAGTAGCCCAGTGCTGCAGTAAGAGACTTTATCACTGAGGTATTCGGCTTCGCGAATGACCTCCTTCTTTAGGACTAACACCAAGGACTAGACGTATTAAATTAGTTAATACCTCGTCTCTGGTCAAAGTACCCAGTACAATCATACAGGCGGTTAGTCGCGATCCTGAGTGGCTCAGTGGTAACGTCTCTCACTGCAGTGTACTTGGTGACATGGGTTTGAATCTGAGGAGGGAAATGCAGAATATGCCCTTTTGACAAGCGCCACCAACAAGCATGAAGCCTAAGAAAAAAGTATCCTACCTATTGCCTCCAACCACCTATTATAACAATTCAGAGTGCATTGTGATAGCGACTCACCTTACATGGTGATCATGTTGCAAACTTGACTAACAGAATTCAGTCTGCATCAACACCAAAGACTAGACACTCATGACCTAGTAACCAGTCAAAATATGTCACTGATAGAATCGTCTTATGATTCATTGTTCGATCAGCTGACAGTAAAATTTCATCTTTATCTCACCTTGTTCCTGGTCAAATCGCCAACTAATAAGAATATTCATTTTTTGTCTATCTTAACCGAATCAACTATCAGTCACAGCAATCTGTTTCCACTGCCCTGTGCCGATTTTAATGTAGTTAAAAATATTTAATTGGTGGATGGTGACTAGCAGTGGAATCCAGGATGCGCGTTTCGTCCTATTTGGGACTCGTCATTCCCCCAGTGAGTGATGCTGCTCCCACCGAGGCTTGAACCCAGTGCCCATAGTTTCAAACGACAAAGCGTTATCCACTAGATCACTTGGACCACGAGAGCCACCTCTTGTGCAACGGGTCATATTAATTACTTAATTGAATTTTAGGTTTTCCTATCGATTGATTGGATCGAAGCGCTCGACGGTAAAATCTAAAATTCAACTAAATAATTAATATGACCCATTGCACAAGATGGGGCTCTCGTAGCCCAAGTGGTCTAGTGGATAAAGCTTTGGCGTTTGATGAGACTATG